TTTTTCGGCCCGGCAAAACGCTTCTACACGTCATGCTCCTTCCGTTCCTACGCTCGTTTCCGGAGTTGGCCCTGGACCATGGTTTCCGGCAAGAATGAAAGCTAGATGCGTTTTCTCGTCCCGGCAAAACGCATGTAGACCTCGTGCTGTTTTCGCGCTGGCTGTCGTGTAGCGGTGGTAGTAGTAGTAGTAGTAGTAGTAGTAGTAGCAGTAGTAGTAGTAGTTGTAGTGGTAGTGGTAGTAGTCCCGGAAACACGCCAGATGCGTTTTTTGGGCCCGGCAAAATAAACGCATGCTCCTTCCGTTCCTACGCTCGTTTCCGGAGTTGGCCCTGGACCATGGATTTTGCAAGAATGAAACCTAGATGCGATTTTTCGGCCCGGCAAAACGCATTTAGACCTCGTGCTGTTTTCGCGCTGGCAGTCGTATAGCGGTAGTGGTAGCAGTGGTCGTAGGGGTAATGGTGTTTGTAGTAGTAGTAGGACTAGTAGTAGTAGTCGTCGTCGTAGCAGTGGCATAGTAGTAGTGGTCGTAGCAGTGGTAGTAGTAGTAGTAGTAGTAGTAGTAGTAATAGTAGTCGTAGCAGTAGTAGACTTCGTCAAGAAACAGTAGTATCTGCAGTACCGGTAAACGGTGTAGTAGTAGTACTAGTGGTAGTAGCGGTAGTAGTAGCGGTAGTAATAGCAGTAGTAGTATTAGTAGTAGCAGTAGTAGTACCAGAAGTAGTAGTAGTAGTACTTGCAGAAGTAGTAGTACTAGATGTGGCACCCGTAGTAGCTAGTAGTATTAGTAGTAGTAGTAGTAGTAAAAGTAGTAGGTAGTAGAGGTAGTAGTAGTTGTAGCCGTGGTTTTGGCAATGGCAGTGGCAGTAGTAGTAGTAGTAGCAGTAGTAGTAGTAGTAGTAGTAGTAGTAGTAGTAATAGTAGTTGAAGTCGTGGTAGACTTAGTAAAGTAACAATAGAAGCTGCAGTATCGGTAAACGGTGTAGTAGTAGTCTTCGTGGTAGTTGCGGTAGTAGTAGCAGAAGCAGTAGTAGTATGAGTAGTAGTAGTAGTAGTAGTAGTAGAGGTAGTAGTAGTAAGAGTAGTTTCAGAAGTGGTAGTACTAGAAGTGGTACCCGTAGTAGCTAGTAGTGTAGTAGTACTAGTAGTAGTGGTAGTAGTATTAGTAGTGGTAGTAGTAGTAGCAGTAGTAGTTGTAGCAGTGGCAGTGGCAGTGGCAGTGGTAGTTGTTGTCGTAGTAGCAGTAGTAGTACTAGCAATAGTAGTCGTAGTAGTAGTAGACCTAGTAAAGTGCCAGTAGTATCTGCCGTATCAGTAAGCGGTGTAGCAGTCGTAGTACTAGTGTAGTGGCGGTTAGTAGTAGCAGCTGTAGTAGTTTTCGTAGTAGTAGAAGTAGTAGTAGCAGTAGTAGTAGTACTAGCAGTAGAAGTAGCAGTTGCAGAAGTAATGTTGGTAGTAGTAGTAGTAGTAGTAGTAGTAGTAGTAGCAGAAGCAGTAGTAGCAGTAGTGATAGTAGTAGTAGCAGTAGTTGTTGTAGCAGTGGCAGTGGCAGCGGCAGTGGTAGTAGTAGTAGTAGTAGCAGTAGTTGTTGTTGTTGTTGTTGTTGTTGTAGTCGTAGTAGTAGTAGACCTAGTAAAGTAACAGTAGTACCTGCAGTATCGGTGAACGGTGTAGTAGTGGCGCTAGTGGTAGTAGCGGTAGTAGTAGCAGCAGCAGCAGCAGCAGCAGCAGCAGCAGTAGTAGTAGTAGTAGTAGTAGTAGTATTCGTAGTAGTAGTATTCGTCGTAGTTGTAGTAGTCGTAGTAGTAGTACACGCAGTAGTGGTAGTAGTAGTAGTTGTTGTTGTGTTGCAGAAGTAGTACTACTCGTAGTAAGTAGTCTAGTAGCGTTAGTAGTAGTAGTGGTGGTAGTAGTAGAAGCAGTAGTAGTTGTAGCAGTGGCAGTGGCAGTGGCAGTAGTAGTTCCAGTAGTAATAATAGTATTGCAGTAGACCTAGTAAAGTAACAGTAGTATCAGTAAACGATGTAGTAGTAGTACTAGTGGTAGTAGCGGTAGTAGTGGTAGCAGTAGTAGTAGCAGTAGTAGTAGCAGTAGTAGTAGCACAAGCAGTAGTAGTAATAGTAGTAGTATTAGTAGTAGTAGTTGTTGTTGCTGTGGTTGTAGATGTAGTTGTAGTTGCAGAAGTAGTAGTACTAGAAGTGGCAACCGTAGTAGCTATAGACTAGTACTAGTAGTAGTACTAGAAGTACTAGCAGTGGAAGAAGGAGGAGCAGGGCCTTGCCACTCAGGCCCACGCGGTGGACAACGACGGGTCACGCATGCGTTTTCCGGGCCCGAATAAATGCATCTGTGCGTTTTGACTGAAACCGAACCGATTCGATTTGATACCGATAGCGATTCGAAACCGGTCGCGAAAGGGGGCCGGCCATCCATGTTGTAGGGGACATGAAGTTTCCCACGAGCTTTTGTGTGGCTGTCATTTTAGAATATTCTAGATTTGTGTTTCGGCTTATGGGCCCAAAAGCAGGCTCGGGGTCAAGAACCCTGGGCCCTCATAGTTCATGCATCCCGAACCTGCGAAAGGAGGCCGGAGGTTTCCCGGCGGGCAGTAGACTGGGCCCGTTTTGTTGCTTGACTGTTGCTGGGGATTGTCGAGGTCAGAACACGGGGGTGACTTTGAGTGACTTTGATCTTGGTACAGTCGTGGGGCCAGGCTAAGCCTTGGCGCATCCGGGGCCGAACTCTCAGGGCCCCTGCCCCACTTACCAGGTGAAGTAATGGCCTTTGTCGGAGGCCTTGTCAGAGGTGTCCACTGCGCAACGCTGAGGCAGGATGTCTTTGTATCTCACGCCCGGGTTGATCAACTTGATGGTGTATTTGGGTGCGGGGGGCGGGCGGGGGGGTGGGGGGGACGTTCTGCTGAAAATTAACAAATCGCTCTTAAATAGAGCACCCCATATTAAACTGCCAAATGAACCAACCAGAAACTTACAAATTGATTAACCCAGGGCCAAAGTTAGGGGTGTTTGTTCGTTAGCCTTGCGTTATCTTGCGTTGAAGCAGCTCGAACGTGACTATTGGAGGGCGCTCGCAGGGCAGTGCTTGTCTTGAGGCAGTGGTTTTCGGCATTGTGTGGGCGGCATATTGACCTGCAAAGTGCCTGTTTGAACGTGCTTTATTTTTTGATACACAGTGGTTGGCGTGTAGAACCGACTGGCTTAGAATACCAAACCCACCCTTGCAGGTATTTCCCAAGTCTATTGCTCCATCCTGTGACGCCACCATGGCGATTGACACCAGCCGCAATTTGGCTGCCGGCGTGTCGCCAACAGTGACTGGGTGCTAAATAGCCCAAAATGTTTGGCTTTTCGTGGTGGAGACTAAAAGGGGATGGAGGATTGTTTTGGCCGTTTCCTTCCAGAAGCCCTTTTTGGCACTCAGGTCAGCTCGGAGTGCTACAAAAACAACCCTTGCGGCAAGCAGTACTTGACAGATGGCAACACGCGGGCGACTGGCACCGGAGACCGGCAGTACTGGCACGCTTGTAAGGAAGCCAATCCCTACGCAGAGGTCGTATTTGCCCAGGCAAGGGTTGACTTTTCTCTTCCAAAGGGCGGTTGCAACCCAACTAAGCAAGGACCCTTCCCATTTTCAGTGCAGTGCCCTTTGCTTTGATTCATGGTTGTGGGCTGCAAAACGTCGCAAGCTGCCCAGGCATGCGTCCGAGAGATTAAGATCTGGTCCCGCGCTGATTGCTGTTCTGCACAGATGCAAGGCGCCGTTGCGGAGGTTTGGTCGGATGGCAGCTGGAAGCAGTGTGGTGGTACATCCACGGACGTGGGGATCAAGAAAGCCTTCTCGTTCAAGTGCGCGCTGGTTGGGACCAAGGCCAGCTGACCTCACCAAGTGTTCAAGCATTTTCAAGCTTTTGAATTGTTATTGCTTGTCTTCATTTAGTAGCTGGAACCAATATGAAATTCCAAAGCCCTGGGGGGCCAGGGAATCAATACGGGTTTTGGGAACGCAACTAAGGATCCCCACACCAAAAGGCATGGTTCAATTCGGGCTCGGGGTCATTTCAGAATTTCGATTCGCTGGCCTCTTGCCAGGCCAGAGTTATCAAGCACACGGCGAGAGGTTGGATCACCATCTCTGAGTTGCAGGTCTTCTCTCGCTAACGCCGAAATCCGACATCGGAAAATGGGCCGTGTCTTGTGCGGCTCGAATTCTCGAGCTGGCCTGTGAGCCCCTTATGTTGGTCCGTTGGGCTTGTGGGCAAAAACTCCCTCCCTGAGACCCTGAGCTTGAGTCACTTTTTGGGGACACACATGACCAGTTCACTGGTACGTAACAAGTTTACACTTGTTTGGCCAAGCCACCATAGAATTGAGAGCATGTGGGTACCTTCAAACTTGTTGGCTCTCATTTACTACCCGGAAAAGGCAACACTCAGACACCCATTGTCAGCCACGCGCTCTCTTTTTAAGCCTTGGCCAGCCTTGGAGGCATCCTGTTGGATTGAAATCTTTTCAGGATGAAGCTGCAGTGCCCGGGGTGTGTTTGAGGGTACCATTCCGGGGATCCAAAAGGAAAACACCAGGAAGCCACTTCTTTTGGGGGTTCGATTCCAGCATTTTCATTCATCTCGGTGGTTTAAAGGAACCAAAGGAAAACGCTTGTTTCTTTAGTTCCGCTGCGAACGAAAGAGCCGCGCGTCAGCCCATCAGAACTCTGAGGCCAGAGTGCGCAAGCCATCACGGGCCAGGGTATCCTGTTCTCCTTGGCTTCCAGGGAAACCAAAAGGAAGACCACAGTTTGTGTGGCCGCAGTTGGACACACATGCGTCTTTGGGCATTCCTTCCGATTTCCAAGGAGTGGTCAGACCCTTTCCCAGAGTTCAGAAGGGCTCCGTTTGTGACGTTTTGAGCCGCGGTCCGAAAATGGGTCCACTGCATACTTCTGATCATGGGCTCCTCCAGAGTCCGGGGGTGGCCCTAGGACGCAATGCAAGCAGCGGGCATTGGCACCGACGAGGACAAGCTCTCGGCCGCCTGCAAGAAACGCCAGGATGATGAGAACGAAGGGGCTGAAGACTTACATAGACCGTGGCTCACTTTCAAGCCCGTATTGTACGCAGTCCTGATGTGTCCTTTGCAAAAATCGATTTTCTTTACTTGGGGTTGGTAGGGGAATGTAGGGGACGTCATCAGCGTCTTTGGGGATGCTAGACGAAGCCCAAATGCATGATGAGTGACCAAGCAACAAATGGAATGGTTGACATGAGAGTGCCAATCAGGTTGCAGGAAGCAAGCATAGTTTGTTGCCAAACAACATCCTCGCGAAGCAAAGCCAGCAAGAATGCAAAGTCCAAGGTCTGTTCATCCCAATGGCGCCCACTCCACTGAACTGCTTGCAAAGACGCCGATGCGCGGCTAGGGTTTGCCTTTTTGGAAAAAAAACACGCGACCCCCCCCCCCGGAGGGTGTCCACACGTTGCCGAGCTGTTCACTCTCGAAATGGGGGCCAAAAGATAAAACCATGCGACCTTCAATTTTGCTTGCCACCATCCTATTTGCCATGGTAAAAGTTATCTTTGTCAGTCATGGCCATGATTCCCGTGACAGGCACCTGTCCATTGCATAGGGTTGTGTTTGGGCGGTTCAATGATTTGAGCCAGAAGCTGACTGCAGGCGTTTTGGGCATTGGGGGTTGCTCAGCGGTGACGGAGTGCAAGGGGCCTTCAGAAGCCAAAGCCAAGGCTGACATGCACCTCGACTTGGATGATATCTGCACTCTCCTGCATTACCTGCGTAATAGGGAAGGCCAGGAGAGATGCTTTCATATCTTTTCGGCCTGGTTCCGATATGGTCTGTTTAAACCTCACATTCTGCTCCCGGCGCTGCATTTGAGATGGCGTATCTTTTCCAGGTGCAGGGTCCATGCTGTTTGACTCGAGGCTTGAAGGTTTTGGCCATGTTACTTCAGGTTGCAAGGCTGGCATGGCGAATGGGCATGCAAGTTCCTTACTCTGGGACCCTTAAACTGAACGTGTTGAGGGGTTCTTAAAAATATCTTTCTGGGGGTGGATTCCCTTTTAAAGCCACCCTTGGGGGCGGGTAGTTTGAGGTTTACACTTGAATGGGCGCAGTTGAACACACTGGCCATGTGGACCGACAGCGAGGTCCAGGGGACACAAAACTTCTTCTGCCCATTTCTATGGATGTTGGAAAGAGTTGGCATTTGTGTTTGTCGGCTGGTCAGGAAGTTGGAGGAGCAGTTAGCATGCCAAAGCGAGCCTCGGGCTGTGTCCACTTGGTCCAAGCAGAGTGGAAATGCATACCCTTGTTTACACTATACCGCTTCCCGGGTTACCAACCCACCCTTATAAGGGTGTAGAGCCACTAGAGGGCTGTGAACATCGGCTGTCATTTGCAGGGGTATGTAAGGGTCCCATCGGAACTTTGAGGTCATGCAGAAATCGTGGCTTTCGGGACATTCCTTCAAGTTCTGCGTTGGGAAGGGAGAAAATGACGGAATCTGTTTTTTTGGTATCCCTTGGCTTCCAACTTTACGCATGTTGCACCTGGAGCAGCACTTTCGTCTAGAATGGCGGGTTGGAGTGGTTCGAAACCGAAACAGGCGAGCAAATACTCCAGAGGTGCAACTGTCTCCCCGCTTGGCCGCATAAAGGGGGTTGAAGCCAAAGCCTTTGAGCAACCTTTGCAAGAGCCATGCAGCTGAGATACAGGGGGGAATTCAGGGTCCACTGGATTCCTAGGCCTAAGCCAAACGGCCGAAGGTCTGGAGTAGCGAGACCTTGCCCGAAAGGGAGCCTGTTGCCCGTCGCCAGCTTTATGAGCAATCCAGAAGGGGCACCCGTTTGGCGCTTTGAGCGAGCTCGGCAACAGGCCTTGTCAAACTGAAGGCTGGCATTTGCAATGGCAATTAGCTTCCAGGGTCACCACTCGCCTCAGCAAGTTCCCAGAGCGCAACCTGAGGCCATACCACTTGGAATGGATTCATGCCACGAAGCGGAACTTCTGCTTGGATCCGAAGTGCATGTAGAAGCATGTTGCACTAAAGAATGATGAATAGCGCCTGAGCCGCCAATCAGGCCTTGGAGCAGCAAGCTCTCCGCCAGACCCATTAGGTACCCCGCTGAATTATGAAGGTCAGCCGTCGGCAAAAGATCCTCACGGAATGCATGGCTCCTGGCCTACTTTGAACGGCCGCAGGCTTCACGGATGCGCAGATGGAGGATTTGCGGCTGGCATTCCAGAAGGGGAAGCAGGAAGACGCGGAGAAGTGGCTGAGCTTGATAGTTTTGTTGGGCTGTTGCTCCTGCTGGGCTGTTGGGCTGTTGGGCCGTTGGGCTGTTGATGGTTTTGTTGGGCTGTTGCTTTTGCTGGGCTGTTAGGAAGAGAACAGACAGGGTCCTAGGAACAGGACAAGGAGCTAAGGACTGGGCTTGAAGCCGAGTCGGATTTCAGATGAGTTGCCATCCGCCGGCCCTCACCATGCGCCCACCTAGTCCTCACAGTCCCAGGCCAGCCGAAGGCCAACCCAAGACAGCCCGCTCCAAGCATGTCAGCAAGACCCCACTACCCTGAGCATACCACGCCAGAATCCCCCAGACCCTCAGGATAGTACCATAGTGTGTCCCTGACCCGCTCCATTCTGAGGATACCGGTGTCCATCCTGCACAAGGCGATGCTTTTGGCTGGCGGTTTTGCCATCCCTTATTTAGAGCTGATTATTCGTGAAGCATCCTCCAGGTGCTGGGGCTGGCGCTAACATCATGCTCTTCAAAGTCAATGCATTGCTTTCTGTTGTAATGAGACAACGCTTCAGCATTTTCCAGCAGGCGCGTCGTGCGTGCAAGTGTGCAAGTTTGCACGGGCGGGCGGGCGAGTACGCGCGCGCACGAGGGTTTGTGTGCGTGTGCGTGTGCGTGTGCGTGCGCGTGCGCGTGCGTGCGTGCGTGCGCGCGCGCGCGCGTGCGTGCGTGCGTGCGTGCGTGCGTGCGTGCGTGCGTGCGTGCGTGCGTGCGTGTGTGTGTGTGTGTGTGTGTGTAGTTTGTGTGTGTGTGTGTAGTGTGTGTGTGTGTGGTGTGTGTGGTGTGTGTGTGTGTGTGGTGTGTGTGTGTGGTGTGTGTGTGTGGTGTGTGTGTGTGTGTGTGTGGTGTGTGTGTGTGTGTGGTGTGTGTGGTGTGTGTGTGTGTGTGTGGTGTGTGGTGTGTGTGTGTGTGTGGTGTGTGTGGTGTGTGTGGTGTGTGGTGTGTGTGTGTGGTGTGCGCGTGTGTGTGTGTGTGGTGTGTGTGTGTGGTGTGTGTGTGTGTGTATGTGCCCCTGGCGGGCTGTTGCCCCCAGTTTTTAGTGATCCAGATCTCCAGGTTGTTTTTTTCAGATTACCTCTCCCCCGTTCCCACCCAAAACAAAAAGACAACAACGTTCTTCCATATTCTGTTTGGAGTGGGGGTAGTGGGATTCTCACTTGACATAGCTTGCCACGAAACAAAGTGCGCTTCTTTCTGTTTTTGGAGGCGAGTTCCCACTTATTTGAAAGCGACTACCAAACAACACGTGCCCCGAATCCTATTTTTTTAGGGGGGTTCCCATACCCAAAAAAAACACGTGCACTTTGACTTGTTGTTTTGGAGGGGGCCCATTTGAAAGCAACTACCACAAAACAAGTGCCCATTCTCCTACTCTTTTGGGAGGGGGTTCCCATTTACAAGCAACTACTCAGGTAACCCTTGGGGGTGGTTTGGATTGGTAGCCAGGCGATTTGAAGTCCTGGCTTTTGTAGAAGGCAAATCTAAAACCACCCCTGAGCTCCACCACTCCAAACCACCAAGAGGGACGCTGAACCACTTGAAAGCAAAATCACATTGACCAGAATTAAGCAGAAACATTCAAACAAACAACACCTACCATCACCTACCCAGAATCAGCCCGTTTCTTCCTATGGACCATCTACCCAAAATCAGCCTGGTAAATTCAATGCCAGGCCCTCCGATGGCTTGGGCACTGCTACACCTTCGACCGAGCCCAGCAGCTGATTTATGAGGCGCGGGGCCTCGGCGAGTGTCTAACTGGGTTCCTTTGTTTGAGGGCAACCCTACGTTTCCCCAAAATGGGGAAGGGGGGTAGTCGAATTTCGGAGGAGGGCTTTTTTCAGGGACTTTTTCACGTTTTTCTTTAGGAATTTTTGCCGGATTTGGCCTTATCCGGCTTCTTGGCTTGTTGGCTTCTTGGCTTCTTGGCCTTTGTCTTCTTGGAGTATGTTTTTTTTTTGCTTTTGGCTTCTTGGCTTTTTGGTCTTGGCTTTTGGCTCTTTGGCTTCTTGTCTTTTCGGCTTTTGGCTGTGTGGCTTTACTTTTTGTGGCCTTTGGGGCTATGGCTTTCCGCATCCTCATCACCAGCAAATCACCAGCATCACCGGCTTTCGTTTAGGATCTTTGGTTGGTGGCTTCTTACTCTCCCATGTTTCTGTAGATGTGGGGGCCCCGCTAGGGCCGTCGTTTGGCTTTGCGATGACCTCAAAAGGCAAACCCAAACGCCCACCCTAAATCCGCGTTTTGGCCCCAAAACCACCCTAACCCATTCTGTACCACCCCTTAACAAACCCAAAGCAAACTCGACACCAACCGCTCCCGACCCCCCCCCAAAACAAACCAACCCGACACTTAACCATCCCGAAGCCACCCCCAAACCACCCTAAGCCCGCCTAAACACAGCCACAGCCTAAACCAACTCGAAACTCATCCTAAACCAGCCCTAAACCATCGGTACCCAAAGCGCAGCGACCCCCAAACTTGCCCTAAACAAGCCCGGAACCCACCCTGAACCAACCCTAGCCAGCCTTGAACCCACCCTAAACCCAGCCCAACAAATCCATCTCGTCATGCTGAGGATGTTGAAAAAGGATGATGCCGGGGATGTTGACAGCGCTGGCGCAAAACGAGTCAAACCCCAGCAGAACCAAGGGAGATCGCACCTGCCAGTTGCAAGACAGAAAATCTAGGAAATAATCCAAAAACAAATCGGGACCCCTTTTTGGATAGTACTTGAGCCATGGGGGAGAGCAGCCCAAACAGGTGATCCTTGCTGAAGGTGATTTTGCGAATGGTTTGAGCGACTCAAGCAGAAACACCACACCATATGGATGTTGCAAATCAGTCCTCACTCTGCTTTAGAATTTGGCAGGACGCATCCCAGTACAGTTCCCCAAGTTAAGCCTAGCTGATGCCTTGGTCCTAGTTGGTTTCTGGGCCCTTTCATTTGTGATGATAGTGATGGCCATGAAGCCTTCGGGAATTCAGACGATTAGGTGCCCTAGGGGGAGCCATGACAACACACGGAGGCCGTGTGAGAGGCCCACTTGCCCTGCAACGTGCCCTTGGCACACCTAGGCAGGATACCATCACCTTGACATACCTTGGAAACTAATCAGGTTTTCAACAGGCCCAGAATCAAGTTTTGCCTTTGCATGGATTACTTGCCACAACTAAAAATCCCGTGATTGCGGGCTAGACTCCTGGATAAGCCCGAAAGGCAAGGTGGAGCCCTCAAGAAAGCAATCTTAAAGTCTTCTGGTTCTGCTACGTTCATGGACCTTCCAAAGGCATTTTAAGGGTTCCCTGAAACACAACGGTTCTTTGCTGTTTGGTTCGAGGGTGGCCTTTCAGGACCCTGGGATGGGCCTCCCGATTCTCAGGTGGACGCATCTGCAGGAGCCATGGACTTCACGACGTGCCTCAAAACTGAAAGAGGGGGGCCTGTGCAACCTATTTCAATCTCGGTGGAGGGGGCTTCCCTTTAAAGCAACCTACCGACCTCGACCCCCCCCCAAAAAAATGAAAGAAAAGAGAAAATAACACGAACAGTTGGGGGAGACCGATTGGACTAGTTGAACAGCTACTGCCCTGCAAATGAGGCAAAACAAAACATCCTTGGTCATCCTGCAGGGGTCAAAGCGCATTCTGGAATCCTTTTTTTTTTTTCCGAAAGGAACGCTGTCTTCCAAAAGGAGTCTGTGTACCAACACGTGGGTCGGTGGGAAGCCGGCAGCTTGTCCTTATTAGGGTTTAGGGTCAAGGCACTCAAGGAGTAGTTGCTTGCTTCCCAGGACAGTTTCTTAGCCAAGCACTTCCTGCATTGCCGCATTGCCCCCCCCCATTCTGCGGAAATGGTCGGCCTGGATGTTTGGAGGTTTGGATGCAAATTCTCCGTACAAACTTGGCTTTTGCAGCCTCATGTTTAGGGTGGTCTTCTGCCTTTTTGTGCGTGGCACAGGCAATCGCAACAGCCCACGCATGTTGTTCTGTGCTGTGTCACGGGCATTCCTTGACCGCCATAGCCCTTTGGGTTATGAAACGACTTGGTGCCCTCTGTGGTGTCCCAAGTGTGGCGAAGAAGTCAGGTTGGCCAACCCTGCAATCTGACAGCCCAAGGGCTTGTAAGCTTCTTCAGTAAAGGTGATGGATTCAAATTCCCCGGCCAGTCCAAGTCGCCCTTTCCCGCAAAGACATCCAACCTGATGAATTTCTGCAGAACCCACCATTTGCATTGGCCCTACGTGTAGCCCATGATTTTGCGCTTTCAAGCAAGCTGTTCATTCCTCAGGGACCGCACAGGAAAGAGAGTGTTCCAATTACTACGCTGTTTCGGTGGGTCGCATGCCCTTTAGGTGGCCTGTGGATCCGTCGGGCATTCATATGAGCAATTGTCAAGGCAGTTTGCGGTAGCCCCCCGCCGGTGGGAGGAGTTCGATTGAGGGCAGAACCCACCACCCCCAGCTACGTAGGTTCAATTTCCTGGGAGGGAGGGTAGTCACACTCCCTCGCCAACTGAGGTCTGCAGGCGTTTGGTAGGGATCCTTACATGCCCGCCGAAAACGCATGTACTAATTGGACCCTGTCCCCGCCTACATACAGCGGATGATGGAAATCTGGATCAACCACCACCAAAGCAGTTGTCCAAACTGTGGTGACTGTCAGTCTTCTGGGGCAAGGTCCACGGTTTAAGCCTTACCTTCTTGGCAAAGATGTCCCCTCGGTAAGATCAAAGGGGGACGTAAGACTTAAGGAAGTCTGGGCTTAGGTTTGTCAAGCTGGTCCGCAAGTGCCGGGACTTCGAACGGCGGGCGGCCATCGGGGCCTTCTATGCAGCCGACCCCAGGCCGTTTTGGGTGCCTGACAAGGGCTTCCTTGGGTTGAGCCTTAATTAGCCCTTCATTAGTAAGAGGGGTCCTCTTGGAAGAAGGGAATCCCCACTACAAAGGGACCCCCCAGATTCATCGCTGAGGGGGTTTGACAAGTGGCCAGCATTTCGGCAAAATATCCCGGTTTTGTCAGTCCTAGTTCTGTTTGAGTTGTTCCTTCTTGGTCAACGATTCCCCTATCTCTCTCCATCAGTCATTACTGTTTCCTTCTATCTATGCATGTATATATATATATATAAATATACTGCGTGAAGCAAGTATACGTATGTATATATATATATATATACATGTATTGTATATATATATGATATATGATATATGATATACATATATATATATATATATACATATATATGTGCATGTGTGCATGTGTGTGCATGGTACATGTGTGGTTTATGTTGTTTGTTTTGATTAGTTTTGTTGTGTGGCCGTTGTTCATTTATTGGTGTCTTATTAACATTTTTGTTTTTACTTTAAAAGTATGTACTCACATAGTTGTGCATTTGCTGCTTTATTTGTGTTTCATGTTTTCATTTTTCAGTTATTCACCCGCTTATTGTTCTGTGCATTTGTTAATTTTCGTTTTTTTATCCATTGTGTATGTGTGTCCTTTGTTTCATTTATATTAGTTAGTTACGTAGTTATTAGTTGCATGTTGGTGTGTTGTTTAGTTGTTTGCCCTTGGTTTATTTGTGAAAGTGTTTCGTTTATTCGTTTAGGTTGAGCCACTTATTAAACATATGCTTATATATGTATATATGTATTGATTTATGTAGTTATTGTCGTTTTGTTTTGTTTAATGGGTTTATGCCTTTGTTGTTGAATTGAGTTGAGTTACTTATTCATAACTTAATTATAAGGTTTGTGTTTACCTTAATGAAACATTGTTATGTTTTGCACGCGTGCAGCATACTGCGTTACGCGCTGAACCTCTTGTTATATATATATATATAGATGCTTCCATTGTTGCTTTCATCAAGAACAATCCCAGCCTCGCCTTTGATCTTATTGTCCATTTGCATGTCTATTTATGTGTTATGTTAATATCGTAATTGTTTTCATTTATCTGTCGTTGTAAGTGTGTGGCCGGATCGTGGCCCGTGGTTCTCAACACACCTGAGCCAGACAAGCTCATGACTGGGTGCTGGAACACTGGGAGAAAGCCGCCTTGTCTGATTTCTGGAACAGCCCATGAATTTCAAAGTTGCCAAAATGGGAGTCGAAAGGGTGTGGGTTACGAGTGAATTTTACCAGGCCCCTATCAGTTTCCCCCCTTGGAGAAGTGCCAAGATGAACCGTTTTCAATAGCGCCTGTGGCCTGGCGTTGGCGTGGCGACGTGCAAATGGAGGGAGTTGACGTCCCAAGTGTTTGCCAGGATTCGGAGTTTGGACCCAAAGAGGTTTCAAAGGAAGGGAACCGCTGCCAAGAGGCTGTTAAACATGGAAGTCAAACATTTTCCAAACAGGGTAGCCCAAGAATGACTCGCAGTTGCGGCGGACATGCCAGGCATGTGGGCACATTGGACGAAGCCGGGGCGTGCCTGGCTTTGTCCAAGATCGGCCTCTTGGAGTTCCAGAAAGGTGTGCCCTGGTCGGCAGTTATGGGAGGGGGGTCCCTTGGATTCGATTTGTCCACCCCGAAATAGCCCTGTAACAGGGGCAAGCAAAGTGAGTAGATGTTCGAACCGGTTTCAAGATGTTTAAAAGTTGTTACAGGGTCTGTACGAAGTTCTCACTTCCCGGGTTCACGTCTTGGGGAAGACAAATTTGACTGGCAAACAATCCGATTTGGCTTAGGAAGAGCAGCAGACGGACTTGGAGCACTTCCTGCTGCCTGGAATCGATCGGCAGCCATCCCCACCCCGTGAAAAATGAAATGGGTTCACGATGGTGTGTTTGTGTTTGTGTGTGCGTGTGTGGTTGTGCTTGTGTGTGTGTCTTTTTTGTCTGCTTTTGAGGATGCATTTTTTAAGGTTGGCTCAAAATGAGGCCCCCAAAAACCCCGAGAAATGCCGCCATATTGAGTTCCCCCGTCACCGGCCGCGCGAGGCTCCAGGTGATGCGGTGCCAAGAGGAGCGCCTTCATTGCCTCCGGAAGTGCCCTTGACGCGAGCTCGCCGGTGGATGGGTTGAATGCAGCGCCTAGGGAAGCCCATTGATCTCACTTCCTGAGTTCATGAAGTTCAACCTTTTTGGGAAGAGCATTCTAGTGGCAAAAATAAAGTGTTGAATCTTTTTGGGCCATCCACTCAGCCGGCGAGTGATTGATTTGAGGTTGCACTTGGGCCGGGAAGTAGCAGAGCTTAAGCAACTCACAACAAGCTGCTACAAGGAGCAGATGAGTTGACACCCTCTAAGGGCACCCTTGCTAGCAAAAGCTTGGTGTCGATCGAAGTGAGGGAGCAGAGAGTATGTCTGATAAAACAAAGCCTAAAAAGTCAGTTCACCCCTAAGATCCAAGATGGTTTCCCCCCAACGTCCCAGACATCATTTTGGGATACATCTTTAATGGCCATGTAGTGGTTGTATATGCCTCGTTGAGGGGTAGTCCTGTTTCTCAATTAGAATCTGGAAGAATGAGGGGTGATTGAGCAGCTCCACGAATGCCTTTTGCACATGCCAGGGGGCTCGAATTCCACCCTGGGGCTGGACTGTTTGCCACGCGCCGTTCCACATTGCCTCAATATCCCTCTGGTGGTTTGGGTTGGTGGCTTGGGGGTTTGGACCCCTGGATTTTGTGGAGGGATGGAAAAGCTGAAACACCAAACCACCAAAGTAGCCCTTACATCTTGCCTACATTCCCAGGTTCCTGTTCAAGACCGGGGGCGGGGGGGGGGGGAGGGTACGAAATCTATGACCAGAGAAGGGTGGTGAAGGGGCAGTGGCAAACGGTGCCAGCCATCGGTCCATCCTCTCTCAAGCTTGTTATGTGTGTTCTGTATGCCTTTACCTTTCCCAACACCAAGGGAGGAACCAAAAAAAGCTAAAGGGCAGCCATTCGCAAGGCGCATCTATTTCAGGACGCCTGTTTGTGATTTTGTGGCTGGTTTGTCCCAACGATGCCGATTAGCAATAAGTGCTGGTAGGGCCCATTGTCAATTTGTTTGCTTGCTAGTTTGGTGATTTGATTGTCGCAAAGTGACGGCACCTGGGACCGTGCGGGATAAAGTGTCATTTAGACCTCCACTGCTATTCGGAGGTCTGAGTTTCGAGATATTCCGAATGCATTTTGTTGTGATCCACGCTGATAGGCCCATTGCTCAACCAGCAGAAGGGGTTCCAGAGAAGAATGGGACCCTCGCTCGCTTTCGGCACCATTGTAGTCAGAGGACTCTCAAGCCAATCGTTTTCTCCTTATTCACACAGGGAGCCGCTCTTGATTGGTAATGTTGACCCCGGATAAATAAACCCCCGTTTATTAATATGGGGGTGTTCCCCTCCAAAAGTGATGAATCCCCACCAAAACCAGGGGCCCCCCCAGATTCATAAACAGGTTTTTTTTCAAATCCGGGGTCAATTTTATGTGTCTGTGGGTACCTCCGAAGTGGACCTCCGGTTCGCAACTCGCCCACCCAGGAACTGCGCCTTCACCCCTGGCCAGCTGGAGGAGCTGAGGCCGGGAAGATCTCGTGGCAAAAAATGGGGGGGGACCGCCACGACTGGGTGTCTCAAAGTCCTGGGCAAGGAGCATGGTATGTTTGCGATGGGTTTGGAGGAGAAGGTAAAAGGGTGTTTGTTGCCCCCCTCCCCTCAACCACCAAGTGGTCCGCGGACCAAGTGTTGCATGAATGGCAGGAGGGGCGTGCTTGTGTTGCTGAGGCTTGTTATTTGCATGGCTTGCTGCTTGCGTGTTTGGCGATGTTTGCATCGGTGTGTGTGTAGTGCTTCTTCTGCTGCGTCTTCTTTCTCCTTCTGCTTCTTCTTCAACTTTTTTGCACCCTTTTTCTTTGGTTTAGTTGCCGCGTTTTACTTGATCCATCGTTTGTCTGCTCCATGGGCCCGCCTTGATCTCACCAGTCGCCATGCGCCCCTTTGTGGGGCGCCCATGGCACAGTGTCAATAAACTGTTTGTTTGCCTTGTTGTTCACCGCTTTGCCTTTTTTTTTTTCACTTGGAACCAGCAACAGATGTGTTGTGCTTGCGGGGGCCTAAGCATGGCAAAGCCAGCTTCGCTGGCCGGCTGCGAAAACGCCTTCAATGACCGACTACCTGGGGGGGGCTCCTTTTTGCACCGCGGGTGTCTGTGTAAGGGGAATAACCGCATTGATGCATGTGTCGAATTCATCCAAGGAACACTGCTTCTCAGGGCTGGCTCTCACTGTTGCAGGAAGTTACGTTGAATGCATGGCTGGAAGACCCACTTGTCGAAACTTGACCAATTGACCTTTATAGGAGGCTTGTTCATCGCTATGAAGTTGCCATTTTAAGTTCAAGGGTGAGAATGGCTACACGAGGAAGGCACAACTGGTTTTGCATTGCTGGATTCTGTTGTAGCCGCGAGGTACCACTTCAAGAAGAGCGACAAGGAGGGAAATGGAGTGCTGAAAAGGCCCGCTCAAGCATGGGCAAACATGCATGCATGGGCCTAGGGTTATGAAGCACTAAGGGTTTCAAGGCTTTTGCGCTAGATCTTGTCCATGCAATGTTTGGCTTGTTCTGTGCTTGTCCAGCTTGCACCCTCCATGCTGTTTCCATGACTTTCAGGACGCCTTCAAATTGTCGAGGGGGAGGGGTGCATGCTTGGTGTGGCTGTGGGCATGTTGGTGGGCGAAATGCTGTTGTTGGACGTTGTTTTTGTCTTGCTTTTGGGGTTGGCCACGGATCCGGTGTTTTTCTTTCCCTGGGGCTGGTGTTTGTACCGGGGGTTGGTTGGTTGGTTAGTTGGTGGGTTGGTTGGTGGGTGGTTGGTTGGTTGGTTCTTTGGCTTGCCTCATCCACGGCATCACCAGCCTCACTTGGCCCGGGGGTTGTCTATTGGCTCTGATTGGGAGGCAGATGGGAGTTTGCTGGGGGCGGGTCCTGAGATCTTCATCAAGGTGGGTCTTGGGAGGGTTTGGGTTTGATCGAAGGGCTGACATCCAGGCTTCTGTTGGGCGGGCTTAGGGTTGACTTTGGGGTTGCTTTGGGGGTGTGTTTACGTCTCGTTTAGGGTCGGTTTTGGAACATTGCCCCAAACCACCAAAACTCGCCCGCATCTCACGCAACCACATTCCTAAAGCAACCCTAAAGGCACCACTTAACAAGCAGCACACCCGACACAAATCAGCTCCAAGCCAACTCCAACACCACCCCAGTCAGCCCTAAACCTGCCCAACAGCCCACCCTCATGAGTATCTCAGCTGGCTAAACCCCCCGTAACTTAAACCAGCCCCCAGCAAACTCCCAACTAGGCAATCCCCGGGCCAAGTGACGCTGGTGATGCTGGGGATTCACACGCCTCGCAGGTACGACTTGGCGCGCCTGGTGGAGACGCTCTTTCCCGCCCAGGCGCACCTCTGCGAGTTCCGGCCGTTTCTGGCGCCTCGGCGGGCGCCAGAGCGTTTTTCCGAGCACGTCAGCGGACTGCGGTACAGATGTTGGGTGAAATGCGTGCAGTCATTGGTTGGTAGCTGGTTGCTGGTTGGTAGCTGGTTGCTAGCTGGTTGGTTGGGTGCTGTTGCTTCTTGATGGGGGGGGGGAGGCCTGCGTGCGCAAAGGGAGGGAATAGTCTGCCACAGATCAGTGGACCTTGTGAAACGGTTCTCCGGCTGGGGTCTTCCTTACCAGGGCCAAACGGGGTGTCCGAGTGGAGGACCATCGATCCAAGTGGGGGACCATCGATCCAAGAGTGGAGTTTCGAAGCCTTTAAGTCAAACAGAACCAAAGGGTTTCTTCACCTTTACCTCTATTCGGCGTAGGTTTTCTTTCTGTTATTCTACTTGAAGGGTGAAAAGGTCAACCTATACCTCCTCTGGTTCTTTCACCAATGTGGCGGCTTCGTCACAAGCCTGACGGATTGTGAACGCTTGCTTCAGCCATACCACCACCAGAATCGCAGCTTTGTCGTGCCTTCGTCCACTGGCCAGCGCACCCTTCCCCAAGCATCACCAACAAAGTTTCATTCGAGTTCATCAGAGTTACTACTGAGCCACGGGTTCGCCAAGTGCTCCATACCGCAATCCATTCCCGTTGCTTGCCCAGCTGGAAGCCACACAGGTATGGGTAGTGTCTCAACAAACCTAACTAGATCAGGCTTCAGCTTTTTCCTCTTTTGGGTTGAATTTAATTCTTCCTTTTAGCCGGCAAATACAATGCCTTTTGTGTTTTGACTCCGGGATTCGATGAGCCTGCATCCTTTCTGAGATGCATCGATTGCCGCCTGCCGCCATTTCAGGCTGAAACTCGCCAGCCGAACCGTTTTCACGAGCCTTGCCATGAGGTTGACAAGGGGTTGAGAATCTTCTTTCTGAATACCACTGTGGCGGATAATTAGGCATACATATATAATATGTGTTTGTGAGCAAACAGGTGCATGTGGTTATTCTGCATGTTTTGTTCATCAACCCATACGCACATTCCCACATATATATATATATATACATATTATTCACGCACGTGCACCAAAGCATAGCATCTACCTGCTGAAAGAAGACGCCACAACGGCGCCATGTTGTTTTGTGAAGCCCGTTGAGTTGGCGTTCGGAGCGTTTCGCTCATGTGGCCATGGGCGCTTTTGAGCCTTGGGGTCGTCGCGGCCTTCGACACCTTTGAGGCCGAGAGCGGAAAGCGCGTTTGGGGGTGCCAAGGGCAGATTCGCAGGTCGTGGCAAACAATCTAAACTGAACTTCTGGGGAAACAAACTGGAACAATAAGAAGTTGATGTGCGTTTTTGTCCAGGGATTTCGGAACAAATGAGCAGCGACAACCCAGAAAGATCCAACTTGGGACTTCATTTGGTAGATAGAAGGGTCACTGTGGGTGGAATTTCCCCCATGTGCCGTGCTTGCTCTTTGGAGTTTCCTTTCTTCTCCTCCCCGCATGCACCCCTAGCTAGTTTCCCCCAAGTTTGGGCTTTCTTGGCCAGGCCACCTCAGTTGTTGCGACACGCTGTCTCTGCAAAAGGTCCAGCTGGTTGGCTCAGGACTTTGCAGTGTTTCAGTGTTTTTGTTTTTTTTCTCTCCGCGTGGGGGAGGCTAATTGCTTGCGTGTGGGATCGATTCACATTTCGCTAGAGATGACGTCAGGATACTGCTCCAGAGTTGTTGCGCATTATTTGAGTTGTCGCTTGCGTCAGCTTTCTGTTGACGAAATTGGCCAGGCTTACGACAAATAATAATAATAATAAAACACAAACCAACTGAAGCAAAACAGTCTCTTTCCGCATACATGTTGATTTGTTTTGCCGTGGGGTCGCCTGGGGAAGGGAACATGATTGTGTATGGAATGGCAGTTGCACTTCCCCTCCATCACCCCATGACTTAAGTGGTGGGCAACTTCTGACTCCAGAGGTCGCCATTCTTCTTAGAACAGAGTCAACGAGAGCGAGCGGGAGATAGAGATATATCGACGATCGAAATTGGCTTTTGCTAGACAGCTCATATGCGCGCTGATCGAAATCTTAGAACAGAGATATCCACATGCCCCCAAGAGAGCCTTTCTTTTCATTGCCCGTTGCACAAGGGAAACTATTTATGGTGGTTAGTCCCCGAAGGGGGTGCCCTCAGTTTTTCCCAGTGGGAAACCCAACCCAGGCTGGGGGTTTGAGGATCTCGGGAAGGGGAGCCTCTGTTTTTCTCACCCCCCATGTGTTTTTTTACTTGCTGCTCCATGGGCCGGTGCGGTGCAATTTCGAAGGACTTCTGAATTCCGCATCCCCTTCGCTGGTGGGAAGTTCCTTGCAGGGGATCCCCTTCTTTGGTTCATTTTCACGGGTCACTCCCTAGAACCAGCCAGTTGTTCGATGGAATCCTCTGAATCCAGGGCCTGGAGCTCAACGAGGAGGAGGGCACGGAGCTGCGGCTGCTGCAGGTGGGCCTACAGCTGACCTCGCAGCTCGGAAGCCAGCAGGTGGCAGGGGTTCTGACTTTGGGGGTGTGGGGGGGGGGGTCTTGGAGGGGGAGGGGTCCACTTTCGATTTGTGCCCGGAAAAAAACCCGACAGGAGCCCTTGGAACTTTCGGCGGGGAGCTGCTTTTTGGTGCGCAGCGCGACAGGCGCAGCTGATGTGCGTGGCAGGCGCACTGTTTTCGTGGCAGGCGCCGTACTTTGGTGGGTAGATAGGAAGGTAGACAGGTAGAGCGAGAGAGAGAGAAAGAGAGAGAGAGAGAGAGATAGAAATAGCCAGCTTGCGATAGACGCGCACATCGACGGAAGTGAGGAACGAAAGAAAAGCAAAGAAAGAAGGACAGAAGGGAAGGAAAGGAGAGGAAGGACAAGAAAGAAGAAAGAAGGATAGACAGAAAGAAAGATTGAAAGACAGGCAGAAAAAGAAAGAGACAACCAACAAAAGGCGGAGGGAAGGAAGGAAGGAAAGGAAATGAAAGGACAGGAAAGGAAAGGAAGGGAAAGGAAGGGAGAAGACAAGGAAAGAACATAGAAGAAAATACAAGAAGACAGACTGAAATAATGAAAGCAAAAGAAAGAACAAAATAAATATCAAAAGAAGAGATAAACAATAGGTAGACAAGTGGACAGATTAGATAGATGGATAGGTAGATAGCTAGACAGACAGGTAGATAGACGGATAGGTGGATAGATGCACAGATGCTTAGATGGACAGACAGGTAGATAGATAGGCAGGTAGGTAGGTACATGGATAGATGTACAGGTAGATGCATGGATGAATAGGTAGATGGATGCATAGACACATCAGTCAGGCACATGGATGAGCAGAGACATGGGCAGATAGACATGCCGCGCCTGCTTTGGGCAATGAATCTGCGTTCGGGCTCGAACCAAAGGGACACTGACACTTTTGGATCTTTTTCCGTGTTTTCTGCCTCCTTTGCTTCAAATTCACAAGCGCAGACTGGACGCTTCGACACTTTTCCTTTGGAAGAGTGTTGTTGGCTGCACCGTGACTGGAGGGATTGATTGTTGGTTGCTACGCCCATGATGGTTTGCTCTCTGAAATGCAACATGCAAGAGAAAAATGGCACTTCAAAGGGAAAGTGCAGATGGGTGCAGGGGAGCCGCAGAAGGAAAGTCATTCATCATTGGGTGGGTTCATTTACCTTGGTCTTAAGGCATCGCAAAAGGAACACCGCGACATATCCAAATTTCAGAAGGTGGCCAGGAAAACCTCAGAGCGCTCAGGCAAAAGAACGGCACCTATGATGACCTGAAGAACGAGGTGCGGGAGAAACATGCAGAAACGCAGCCGCAGGTCCAACAGCAGAGGAGGGGTTCATTGCCTGTTGGCGGGTTGATTCAAAGGGAAACTACGTTTGCCAATGCCGAAGATGGATGGCATGGATGCTCGGTAGACGTCGTGCGGCACACTCACCACAATTACGGAAGGGTTACGTCCCATACCCTCTTCCAACAATTCTGGAAGTGGACACAATGCGCTTTAAAGACGGTGGCCCTCCTGAGCCTCCCGCGCAATTCCATGTTGGGAAACGGGCAGTCGTCAACTTGAGGGCACCTCACGCTCCAGTTGGTCCGTTGGTCCGGCCTGGAGGCTCCAAGGGCCGGATGTTTTCGATGAACAGCTTGGCGTTGATTCCCCTCACTGCCAGATGGGAGCCAAACTTATGCAGAGCTCGCTGGGCAAATCGAGCTCGTGTTTGTTTTTTTGTTTTGTTTGGCTTTGATTCATTGTGCGTGCTGTGGTTTTCGCAGACAAGGCCTTTGCAGAAACCAGTGATTGCGGCCGAGCCCTGGCACCAGCATTGCTTGGATAAGCCAACACAACTTTTCAAGGGGACGGCCATGGCACCTGAACGGACCAGCAAGAAGGCAGGCTTTGCACGGTTCGGTGCCTTGTTTTGAGCTCCCTCGTGGCTGGGTTTGGAAATTTGCAAAAGAGCATTGATCATTTCTTGGGGCCAACCGTTATAGTTAATCACTTGGAAACACTGTTTGCATTTTGGGTTGGCCGTGAGGCCAACCCCAATAGTTTATCACTTGGATACCCAAACTGTTCTCATGATGTTTGCGGGTTGGGCGTCATCTCCTGTTTTAAACATCCAGCCGCATGCTTGCTCGCGGCTCGGGTGCAGAAACACCGCGCCAGACCGTGCCCACTACACCTGTGCCTCAGATTCAGATTCGGTATCAGAAGGTTCTCCCGGAAGCCCGGCAAGCATTACTTTTGGATTTGGCTGCGTCTTTCTCTTGAGGATACCACCAAAAGCGGGCTCCTTCAAATGGAAAACCGAAGGGGAATCATCAATTCTCAAGGTTCCCCTGTTCTGAGGCAAAGCTTTCTTATGTTTGTCAGAGTATGCATGGTGTTCTTCCTTTTTATTGGTGCTGGGGGGGTGCTATACGATTAGCCGCTTCACCCATAAGGAAGACAGAGCCTTGTCTGCGCGGCATTCTGCTACGCGACCGAACCCGCTCCTGGACATAGTGGCGTGGCGAGAACGTGAGCGTGATAGATACGGATCAAGGCGTGCATTCACATGTAGGGTGCATATAAATTCTTGTAGTTTTATCCACCTTTGCACGAGCATCACACGAGCCAGGTACTTTGTCTACGTGACGTTCATTGACTCCTGTATTCCGATGCATTTGCATTCACGTTCATGCACAATGAGACTCTGCAAGCCACCGCCCCTACAACCCCTCAAGCACTCTGGGTAAGCCTTGTTCCGGGCCAACGCAGGGTCATCATCTTGGTGGGGAGTTATGTCCACCAACCACTCGTGAGGAAGTTGCCCACATGACTGTTTGCCATTGTCAAAGCACATTTTTCCTTTCTTCCAGTTAGAAGGGATGGTCATAGACCCCTAGGGAGATTGGCAAATAGACAACAAAGAAAATCCATGACCCACGGGGTTGTTCAGCATGACACATGTGGATACGTCAAAATGAGGGGACCCTCAGAGTAGGCTTCTCATGACACCAACACACACACAAACACACACCCACACCCACGCACGCACGCACACACACACACACACCCACACCCACACACACCCACACACACACACGCGCACGCACGCACCCACACACACACATACATACATACATACATACATACATACATACATACATACATACATACATACATACATACATACATACATACAGACACAAACACAGGCACACAGACACACACACACACAGACACTCACACTGACACACACTGACACACACACACACAGACACACACACACAGACACACACACACAGACGCACAGACACACAGACACACAGACACACAGACACACACAGACACACACAGACACACACAGACACACACAGACACACACAGACACACACAGACACACACAGACACACACAGACACACACAGACACACACAGACACACACAGACACACACAGACACACACAGACACACACAGACACACACAGACACACACAGACACACACAGACACACACAGACACACACAGACACACACAGACACACACAGACACACAGACACACACAGACACACACACAGACACACAGACACACACAGACACACACAGACACACACACACACACCCACACACACACACTGACACACTGAGACACACTGAGACACACTGAGACACACTGACACACACACACACAGACACACACAGACACACACAGACACACACAGACACAGAGACACACAGAGACACACAGAGACACACACACACACAGACACACACACACAGACGCGCACGCACCCGCGCACCCCGCACCCGCGCACCCGCGCACCCGCGCACCCGTGCACACGCACACGCGCACGCCCGCACACGCGCACCCCCGCACAGGCGCACCCCCGCACACGCGCCCCTCACCCGCGCACCCGCGCACTCGCTTTACCCGCGCGCACCAGCGTGCGCACGCGCACGCTCACGCGCACGGGCACACACACACACACACAAACGCACGCACGCACGCACGCACGCACGCACCCACGCACCCACGCACCCACGCACCCACGCACCCACGCACCCACGCACCCACGCACCCACGCACCCACGCACCCACGCACCCACGCACCCACGCAACCACGCACGCACGCACGCACACACACACACAGGCGCGCACACACCCACACACACACACACACACACAGGCGCGCACAGCACAGCACAGCACAGCACAGCCCAGCATCACGCAGCATAGCACAGCACAACAGCCCACATTGCGACCCACAGCAAGCAACTCACGAAATAAGAGGCCACAACACGTAACACAACACGCAGACGTGACGGACGTGTGTGTGTGTGTGTCGTGTCACTCATGATTGCAGGGGTGCTTTGGGTCGCCGAGGTGGAGGGCACAGGCGGCCTCGGGTCTTTCACAGGCCGAGTCCGCGTGAAGCAGAGACCTTTGCACCGCGCAGAGTGGATCAACTTCTCTGACGAGGACGGGGCACTCGTCCGGGCGTCGCCTGCCAAGGTTGGCTGGTATTCATGGGAGAACAGGCGAAACCAGGCATGGGGTCAAACTACGCATGAGTTCTAAGGGATAAGGGGATCACCGACTTGCGGATCACAATGGCTTGCTGCTCTAGCAGCCCAATTGCCAATCGTTGGCTCATCCCAGAGTTTATGAGTTTATCAGGCCTCTCAGTGGGGGGGGGGGGGGAAGGAGGCATTGACTGACACTTTGAAGCTGGTCCAAGGGCAGGTGGCCTTCCCTAGCCTCAACGCGTTGGGGGTGGTTGAGGCAAGGGCCTCGCAGCCTGGCCTCGTAGTTGGGCTCGATTGATGTTGGATCTGGGTCTTTGCAATGGTTGAAACTGTGTCGCCTCCACACTGTGGCCATTCTACGGCCTTGTACGTATCAAGTCTAGATGGCTCTACATACATCAAACTCCGCACTCTGCCAAGGGCCAGCTCGGTGTTGCATGTCCTCGGCATTTTGTGAGGACCCTCGCAAGGGCTTCGTGAAGGGAATGATCACAGTAGGCCCAGCCAAAACCGAGACAGATGTGACGCACTACACCATCTTCTGGGCCTCGAACAAGACAACCATGGACCTCATCATCTCGCTGCCTGTAGGGATCTATGAGCACAACTTGGTCTCGCCGGAAAACGAGCAGAAGGGCGTCCCGACCCTCAGCTCCAACCAGTCTTGCGCCTTTTTTCGGCTTGCGACAAAGGAAGAAAGCCACCAGTCAAAGGGTTGCATGCCTGTTTGTTCCATTTGTCCACGGTTCGTGGGCCATGGCTCTGACTTGGTGTCGGTTTTCTTTGTTGCATTTTGCTTGGCTGTTAGGACTTTAACTTTTTGCCAACTCAGGGGTTTCCATTAAACGACTAAAAGTTAAACTTTTAGCAGGGGTGCAGAAAGCAACCGAGTTGTGTTGACGTGATGGTTTTGCCTAGGATACCTTCAGGGGCCAATCAATTTGTCGTGAAGACCTCCAACGCCGCGGGGATGATGGAGCAGGCATTCGCCACGAACCTGTCAGGTTGTCAGGTTGTCAGAGATGTCTGGGCTGCAGTTTTCCCGAAAAGTGAAAGGCAGAAGATCCAAGCAAATTCAAAATTCCGGCTTCCTTAACAGGCCCCCCCGTTCAAAAAGGGAAGCACCGCAGGTGTCGAACTTTTCTTTTTGGCAGCCTTGGCAGCTGGAGGACCCACAGCTGTTTGGTCTGTGCGCCTTGCGCGCCTGTACGGGCTGGGGAGTTCATGGCTGCTTGTCCAGTCCGGAGCCCTGAACTCCCGGGTGCTTGGCTGATGACGTGTATCGGAGGCTGCCAAGCGATGGCGGGGAAGGTTTCCGTTGGCCGCAGAGCTGCAGGTCGCTCCATCCATCACTATTTACAATATGTGTGATAGATGTATCAACTAGGTCCCCAGTAGTGCCCTTTTACCCGTTTTTGGGGGAGGGTTCCCCTACTAAAATAGACTACAGAGAAAAGGGCACCCTTATTCTAACCTCTCTACCGGAGGACCTGGACGCTATTTGTCATATGTTTGATAGATGTATCGAGCCGCCAAGACCTTTTTACAAGCCTCTTTGCCAGGGCACCTCCATCTCCATCTTCGACTTCTGGCGCCCGGCTCTGCCCAAGCTGCTGAAGGGTCTCCTCCGGGGCTGAGATTCCGGGCGCGCTGAGCCGGTGCAAAGACTTAAACCCTTCAAATTCTGCAAGCCTTTTGACAGAAGATCTAGCTTTATTTGACTCACCATTCGAGTTAAAGCTGGAGTCAAGTTGAATTCCCACCGAGCAGCCAGATCAGGGATGTCCCCTCCTGCCCGCGATCTGAGAAAAAGAGCGGCGTCGGGTTGGGAGGCTGGGCGTTGGCGCGCAGAAGCAACTGTAAACCGTCCAAATGATCATCCTCGTTTTGGGCCTGGGACGCCAAAAATCAGCCCGGCTGTCTTCTTCACCTAGCCACCGCTCTGAGGTGAAGCTCTTGGAGGGTTTGGAGCCTTTGGACTTCCCAGCCTTCATCTACCTGTGCCGCAGGATCCAAGACGAGACTGACAGCCGGCGCTGCGCCTCGGATTTTGTTGTTTTCTCCCGGCTGTGCGACGGATCAGGCATAAAACGTCGGGCAAAACGAGGGCATGAAGGGTTTGATATGAAACATGATTATCAGTGTGCTCCACTGGGTCAAGACAAAGGTTTGTTGGCTTGACCTCCGAGAGTGGCAGTGATGCAATCGAACCCATCGGGTCACGAGATTCTTTCCTAACTTGTGGTTCCGCAGCAGAGTGTTGCATTTTGAGGCGCCTCAAACTTCCCTTCTGGCGGCTTCCCTTTAGAAGCATGTACCTGCCGTCTCGAGCCTGGCTACTAAAATGCAAAACAAATATGTAAGAAAAGGGACCCACTGGTCAGTTTCACAACATGGTGGACCCCTTCTTAGAAAACCGGACCATTTCTTGGGCCCATCTTGTGCCCCTCCTTTTCTTTGGATCTGGGAAAAACGAAGCCAAAAGGAAACCAAGGGGTCCTTTGGTTCTGAGACATGGACTGGGCACCAAGGCGCCTTGTACCAGGAGGTGCTCAAGGACCTCGGCTTCAGCTGCCGCGAGGCCGCGGAGCTCTTGGCCGTCTTCCTGCGCCTCGAGCGAACTTCGCGCAGTCCTCGCTCCCGCGACCTGCGCGTCGAGTTGACTTTCCCGGATTGCCCCAAACACGCCGGTACTTCGGGGTACCAGAAAAAGGATGCACCTAGAATCGCATGGATGCAGGAAATCTTTGAAACCGCTGAATCCTTTGATTTGAGGAACACTGTTGTGGGGAAACACATGAACATCTGGCTGGGCTGTTTTTAACATGCTACCACCGTAAGATATCCAGCTCCAGAGGCTCCGGAATCGCAACTGGGTCCTCACAAGCAAACGTTCTGGGTGCATTGTAACGACCTCACACGACCTCACCCCAACTGGTTTATGTGGGGAATAGCCCACCCAACCACCGTATTTCATGACTACTAGCTTATTGTTTTAATGATTATATTACTGTTATGTGTTCTTCCCAAAAGATCTGTGTTGTTTTAAATGGTTGGTAGGCCGACCTGTTGGCCTCCATTTTAGCTTTTGGCTTGCAACATGAACACCGTTTCGAAAAAAGCGGGGCCCTAAAAGGTGTCGCTTATGTAAGGCCTGCGACTGACGAAGGCGCCCGAAGGCTGTCCTGCGACGCAGCTTGGCAAGTTTTTGGGCGCAGCCTGGAATTCGTTTTTGTGCAGGTGTTTTGTGTCATCTCCCGGCTACCGCTGGGATGAATCGTGTTTTTCCAGCTCCCCAAAGCCCAGACTTAGCGTCTAGAGCAGCTCGCTCGGAAATCTGGTCTCTGGAGAAGGTCCCCTCATTGGCGACCTTGCCCTTGACGTTTGACTGCTTGGTTTTCCTGCATTGGCATTTGAGTCATGGCCCAACATATTAATTTTAGGCCTCTTGGGAAAGTGAATTGGCTGCAAACATGTGCTTCAATCGCCCAGTGCGGTCCAGTGGCACCCTTCTCCCCGGCTGATTCCCACCTTCAAGTCTCCTTTGTTGCATTTCGCTTGGATGTTAGGACTTTTTCTTTTTGCCAACTAATGGGCTTTAGCAACTGAGTCCCCTTCCAGAGCAACTGATTCAGAACCAACCGCAAGCGGAGGAGATGGTCAGCCTTTTCATCCGCGCGTTTGAAATGACCGAGTCCGAGTGGGGCACTCAGCACTGGACTGACTCCGCCAGGACCCTTTGAAGCGGGGCATGATGTTTAAACCAGGGTGCTCTGTAGGGAACTGTGGGAAACCCAGATTCCCTTAAAGGAAACCAGAAGCGCTGGTTTATAGGGGTCATTCCCTCATTCCCTACTGAGCACCAGCAAGCAAATGACTGACAAACGAGGGGTTGGGCCAACCCTGCTTTGGGGGCCCGGTGTCCCAAGCGGCCAAGGGTCGGCCTTTTCACCCTTCCCCCCAGCCCAACGAGGCAAATCCTGAAACCCGGCAAGTCCGCAAGAGGGCCACCCTTGGGCATCCATTCGTCCTTTGGACTGCACCTGTTGGTTTCAGGTAGTTCCGTCCCCAAGAAGCCCAGCTTGCCGCCTTTTTCAGCCGAAACGCTCCTGCAGTTGCAGCACGCAGCGACTGCTGGCTCGCCTTGGGCCAGCTCGGAAGTCACAAAATATCTGAAATTACCGGGCACTTTAGGGCAGGCCTTGTGCCCCAGCGCAAAAGCTGAGGTAGTTTCCTTGTATGAACTTTTAGGCCACTTCGCATATTGTTCACGAACTGACTTAGAGCATTGCGTCTTTAACATCATGAGCGTCTATCTTTCGAAAGGAGGATCCGAGGGGCACGGCCATTTTCGGCGTAAACACCAGTACATCATTTAACTCACTATTGCTTGAACAATTGGATGGCCCTTACTTATTGGCTGCCCTGGGCAATCCCAGGCAGCCATCCCGTGAGCGGCCAGGTGCCACCTGCTCAGGAACATCTTCGACACGGAGGTCCCAGAAGCGGAAGGCACGCGATGTTGTGGTTCAGGCCTCGGCAAAGATCGTTGAAAGAGCCGGACTCTGGTGAAAGCCCAAAGAAGGCAGTTTAAACAAGGATTAGTGGTTTAAACATGTCTAAGCAAGTGGTTTGCACACTTGCCGTTTTTCTCTTTTTGAGGCGGGTTCCTGTTAAAGTCAACTACAACAAGGGGGGCATCCCTTTTTTTCCTATGGTCATTGGAGGTCTGGTGTTCGTCCAGCTTCTTCCGGGCGCCCAAGGTCCCTCGAAAAGGTTGGCCACATTCACGGGGGTTGCAGGGACTGGTTGGTCACGAGTCCACCTTGAGGTGCGTTAGGCGCCTTTGCGAGACGTGGCTCTCGCATGCTCTCCTGACCAAGCCCTTAGGCATCTTAGGCTTACGACAGGGAGCGCCTGCCTGGGGGACCTTTCCATAGGGCAACCAATCTACCGATGGCAAAATGCAGACTTGCAAAGACTTGTGCATACCCCGAAATCATCTAGCGGATCAAAAGGGACTCCAAGCCATGTCTTCATGGTAGCGGAGCTCTCGGGCACGACCAGGGGCAAGTCCGCGGCCAAGGACAAGCCCTACAGGCGGAGGATCGGGGTTCCCCGAGAGCGGCCAGCTGGGCCACAGAGGGGAGGTGCTGAGTCGAGGTCGGGAGGCGCTCAGCAGCTCCAGAGGTTTGAGGAGCTACGGCAGCGAGGCAGGCCCGTTTGGCGGTGGAACCACTGGAGGTGGATCCTGGTCTTGCTGGCGGGCATCTTCACCTACGAGGGGGGCTTCTTTGTGTTGGCCGGCTTGATCCTTGAAGAGGGCAATGGCGACGATACAGGAGCTCACGGCGGTGGTGCAGCAGATGCAGCAGCAGATGGCACAGTTGGCTCAGGAGAATGCGGGACTCCGTGATCGGGTACAAGCGGCGGAACAGCAGACGGCTGGAGCAAGCGGGGGATCAGGGGGCTCGGCGGAGGTGCTGCAAGCATTGAATCGGTTGCCGGAAGTCCTGGAGAAGATGAGTAAGAGAGGAGGTGGAGGCCTGATAGATCAGAAAGGCCTTGGAAAGCCTCAGGTGCTCGGAGAAGGAGCCGAAGATCGATTCCGGGTTTGGGCCTTGAAACTGGAGGACTACGTGGCGGGCGTGATCGGTGGCAAATCCCGTGAGGTGCTGGAGTGGGCTGCTGAACAGGAGAACCCCATCGCGCAGATGGACATCGACAACCAGTTCGGGGCTGGAGCAGATCTTCTAGATCAATGGGATGAGGTGGACGAGATGAATCAACAGGTCTACACCATCCTCAGGGCGACCACGGAGGGGGCGGTCTTCGACTTGGTGGAGAACGCGCCGAAGGGTGCTGGACTGGAAGCTTGGAGGGCCCTGCACAGGAAGTTCGACCCTAGCACCGGAGGACGCAAGCGCATAATGCTTCAAGCATTGACGAGCCCAGAAAGATTCTCATACAAGAACCTCGGCAATGCCTTAGAACGTTGGAAGGCATTGAGAAACAGATACGACCGCAAGAAAGATCAATTCGGGAAGCGAGAGGTGTTGCAAGACAGCCTGGCGATGAATGCGCTGGAGAAATTGGTTCCGAAGGAGATGGAGCAACACCTCATGCTGAACTACACGAGGTTCCGGACCTTTGAGGAGATGGAGCAGGAGGTGGTGACCTACATGGAGGCGAAGACAGGGAGCAAGCTGACGATCTCGAAGGACTTCAGCAAGTCTTCGGTGGGCGATGTGGCTCCCATGGATGTGGACTCCCTGGTCCGGGCGGTGAATGGCAATTTGGCCTCACTCGTGAAGGGCAAGAAAGGAGGAGGAAAAGGCGGCAAGGCCAAGTTCAAGGGCAACTGCGATAATTGTGGCAAGAAAGGTCACAAGAAGAAGGACTGCTGGTCGAAGCCGCAATCCGGCTCAAAAGGCGGGGGTGCGAAGTCCCGGAGCAATAGCCAGAGCACCGGCAAGGGCAAGTTTGAGGGCACCTGCAACAACTGCGGGAAGAAAGGGCACATGAAGAAGGATTGCTGGGCGAAGGGCGGTGGAGCTTCATCATCGTCGGCGCCTACAAGTCCTAAAGGAGGAAAAGGCGGCAAGAGGGAGGCGTCATCGCTGGAGCAACCTGGAGATGAACCGGCAGGCGAAGCGAACGGGCTGGACCTTTGCGCGCTTTCCTCAACGGCAAGGATGTCCACAACTACCTCATTTGCGAAAAGGGTGGCTCTCAAGCGACGAGAGCTTGGAGGCGAAATCAACTTGCTGAAGTGCAACTTCGACACTGGCGCTTCGGTGACAGCCATCCCGAAGAGGTACAAGCGCGAAGGAACTGGAGTTGGAAAAGGAACGTTCAAGACCGCCTCGGGTGAGTTGATCAACAACTACGGCCCGGTGAAGATAGGCGGCTATGACATGAACGGCGTGAAGCGCATGGTGAATGGGAATGCGACGGACGTGCACAAGGTCCTGATCAGTGCGGGCAGACTGCATGGAAAGGGCCACAGCACTTGGCTGTCGAAAGGCGGAGGAACTATCATGCCAGTAGACCATCCTGTCTATAAGACGCTGGAGGAGGCCTATGAGAAGGCGACGGACCTGTACGGGGACAAGGGCATGATCCCGGTGGTGGAGGAGAACGGCATCTATAACTTCTACCTGGAGATGCCCGACCCAGAGAGCGCGGATGAGCAGGTGGCGGAACTGGAGACACAGGCATCAGCGAGCGGGTTGATGCAGAGCAAGCCCAAATCCAAGGCAGTTAGAATCAGTGAGGAGAGCAACACGGTGTGGGCCTTGGAGGATGAGATTGAGGAACAACAAGACGGTCCGGAGGAGTTGGTGGAGGCCAGACCTGCTCACCCAGGTTGGGTACCGCCGCAGCCAAGCGAGCGTGAGAGAAAGGAACACGAGGCGAGCGGACATGCGGTCTACAGGAGTTGGTGCAAGATGTGCGTCAAAGCAACAGGCCTTGTCCAGAAGCACGTGAAGGTGGACCATGGTGATGAGAATCCCGACATGTCCACGGTGAGCCTCGACTACTTCTACATGGGCGAGGCCGAAGGTGCGAAGCCGAACATTGTAGCTCGGGACCGGAAGACCGGGCTGATGACGGCGACCTCCATGGAGAGAAAAGGGCTCGTAGATGCGACGGCCCAGAAGATGCTGACCAGGTTCCTGGAAAGCCTTGGTTACAAGGAGGTGGTCCTCAAAAGCGATGGCGAAAGGAGCTTGGTGAAGATGAAGATGGAGGCAGCGAAGAAGGCAAGAGGATTGAAGAAGGCGGTGCCAGAGGAGTCGCCGGCTGGAGATTCAAGGTCGAATGGAGAAGCGGAGGCGGCTGTCAAGGAGATCAAATGGAGGTGCAAAGCCAATCTCCTAGCCTTGGAGAAGAAGTTGGATGGTGGAGTTCCTGAAGGGCATCCTATCACATATTGGGCCCCAAGGTACTCTGCTGCTCTGCAAGATCATGGTCAAGCCTGCTGGAGGTGGAAAGAGAGGAGACTGGGCAAGAATGGTCAGCGGGAGGTACTGGGCACGCACAACAGGTTCGGGTCAATCTTGGCCATGACGGACGCCGGAGTGGTGGTAGGCACTGGGATCCACACAGTGCCTGAGGATCAGAGATGGTCAAGGCTAGAGCCCGCACTACGTGGTGTGCCCTGGGACATCAAGAAGTATGTCAACCCGCAGCTGGAGGAGCAGCAGCAGCAACAGCAGAAAGGAGGTGAGGATCAGAGGCTGCCCCCGGTGGTCCTAGTGGCCCCAGCTCCCGGACCTGGAGAGGTTTCGGTTGAGCGACCGGAGGAGCATCAGGGGGGAGAGTCCCCAGAGACAGATGGCCCCTTGGCAAAGGGCCGAGCGTGGCCAGTGAGGAGAACAATGATGCAGAAGTATGGAAGCACGCCCGGATGCCAAGGGTGCCACACCATCAACACGGGTGGTGCGCTAGTTCGGGCAAGCCACTCAGAGGAGTGCAGAGCGAGGATGAAGAGGAAAATTGCAGAGGATGTAAAGAAAGATGAAGAGAGGATGAAGAAGCAGAAAGATGAGGATGAGAGGGAAATTGCAAGAAGGGCGAAGAAGAGATCAGCGGAAGAGGAAGCGAATGATGAGGCAAGGGCCGAGGCTGAGCCGTCAAGTTCAAGCCGAGGTCCTGAGGCAGGAGAAGCATCGCCAAAGCGGAAAGGAGGAGAGCAAGGAGCGAGGGACATTGAAGATGTCTTGCGAGATATGGAAGAGGACGCGAGCGGGCAAGCGGGCCCGAGAAGGATGGAGGCAGAAGAGATCCTGGCAGAGGCTGGGAGCAAGGAGGCTGCGAGTATCGTGGCAAGCATAGGTGCGTTGGATGTGCTGGAGGTGTTTTCACCTCAGCGTGTGACAAAGGAGCTGAAGCGATTCGGCATGCGTGACGGAGCGGCGGTGGACCTAGAGGAGGTGAAGCCGGATGGGTCAGAGAGGTGGAACCTCGACAGGCCGGAAGATCAGAAGGAGGTGCTGGAGATGATTCAGGTGGAGGAGCCTTGGCTCCTGACGAGCTCACCGCCGTGCACTACGTTTAGCCCGTTGAGGAACGTGTCCAATGGCAAGAGGGACCCGGGCGTGGTGCAAGAGGAGGAGGAGCTTGGAAAGGCGAGGATGAGAACGGCAATGAAGTGCTGTAAGCAACAGCGGGAGCAGGGTGCCTTTTATCTCCATGAGCACTCAAAACCGTCCACGTCATGGAAGATGCCGGAGGTGGAAGAGGAGGTGAACCGAGACGACACGTACTTGGTTCAGAGTCCGATGTGCCGTTGGGGCATGAAGATGGAGGACCGGGAAGGTGAAATCCTGCATGTGAGAAAGGAGACTTTGTGGTTGACGAACTCAAGGAGGATTGCAGAAGAGCTGGAGGGCGTGTGCGAGAATGTCCTACAAGGTCGAGAAGTACATCGGCATGTTCATCTGGTGGGTGGTGGACGAGCTAAGGCTGCGCAGGTGTACCCCAAGGAGCTGGTGGAGGCAATTCTACGTGGCCTGAGGAAAGAGCTACGAGAGAGAGGAGAGATCAGTGCGGTGGAGGAGCAGTTGTCAGGCCCGACACCGGATGAGTACGTCGAGCAGGAAGAGCTCTACAAGGAGGAGTTCAGCCAGTTTGTGGATGATGTGACCGGGACGGAGTTGCCGGCGCACCTGGTGAAAGCGGCGCGCAAGGAGGAGCTGGACTGGCTCCACAAGGAGGGCGTCTACGAGAAGGTCCCAAGGAGGATCTGCGAGGAGAGGGGCATGAAGCCCTTGCAGTTGAAGTGGCTGGACATCAACAAGGGAGACGCGACCCAGGTGAAGGTAAGGAGCAGATTGGTGGCGAAAGAGGTGAAAAAGGCAACAAGGCCTGAAGACCGACTTCGGGCGGAGGAGACGTTCGCGGCGACCCCGCCCCTGGAGATTGTGAACCTGCTCCTGAGCCTGTTCATGACGGACAACCCAGAAGAGCCGGACGCTAAGGTGGCCTGCTGGGACATCAGCCGTGCCCACTTCATGGGGCGTGCGGAAAGGGAATTGTACGTGGAGTTGCCGGAGGAGGACCAGTGCGGAGATGATGGTGAAGAAAGTCCGGAGCCTATGGTGGGCCTACTTCGCAGGTCCATGTATGGGACACAAGATGCCAGCAAGGTGACTACATCGGCTGGTTGAAGGAGCATGGTGCAGAGTTCTGTGCGGATGACTTCATGGTGAAGGGGAACGGGGGGCTTGCACATACCGCGTCTTCCCGACGCCTCTCCGCTCCGTCATGGCTTTCGCCGCGGAGCTGTCCACCAGCATCTTCACCACCGGCACCTTCTCACCCATGTAGAAGGCCATCACGTTCCTCACGAACTCGGCCAAAGTGGCCGTCCGACACATTCCATAGTACTCGCTCTCGCAGCTGCTCAGCGCAACGATCTTCTGCGTCACCCCGCGCACCATGAGGGTGTGGCCACCGTTCTTGATCACCGCCCCCGTCACCGAGTTCCGTGTCAACGGATCACCAGCCCAATCGCTGTCCGACCAGGCTCGGACCTCCATTTCTCTCACAGGCTGCTGCTTGAAGGTCTTCTTGAGGTATGGGACCTTCACCAAGTACCTCGCCACGCGCTTCAGCCGCTGCATGTCACCTTGCTTCGGTGACCTCAGTGCCGAACTCAGCACTTTCACCGCATGCCCCAAGTCGGGGCGATCCTGGCTTAGATAAGCCAGGCGCATCACCATGCTTCTATAATCCACCGCCTGCTCGGCATCCAGCTCTGGCTCTGGCTGGCGCTCCTCAGCAACTCTCTCGGCGTCCCGCATCTTCTCCTCCGGGATGTCCACGCCCTTGGTCTTCTCATTGAAGCCGAAGTAGCGCATCACTATCTCCGCGTGCCTTGCATCCGCCTCCAACTCCAACTTCCACCGAGCCGCATCATCCAGCTTGAAGCGGATCTTCCTGTTCAGGAAGAACATCTCCTTGTCATCTTCCGCGCCCAGCACGCCGTCCAACCACTGCAAGTTGGCCCCCGGTACTTGTGGCTGCAGGACCGGGTGGCGGAGAAGGCGCTCAGGGTGGAGAAGACGCCTGGAGCGGTGAACGACGCGGACGTTGTGACCAAGGTCCTATCGGGCGGCGTCATGAGAGGCCATTTGACCCGAATGGGCTTTGAGGCCAGTGACAACAAAGGTCACAAGGCCTTGTTCTTTTAGGGGTGAGATGCCCCTCAGGCCATTTGGGCCTTCGATGCACAGGGCCCGAGATCATCTAGCGGATCAAAAGGGACTCCAAGCCATGTCTTCACAAAACCTCCAGGTTCACCGGATGGCGTTGTTTCCGGAGTTTAAGGATGGTCACCGTTGGTGCTTCCCTCGGTTTTTCCAGTTGTTGGTCCCCCCTCCTATGGTCTAGCCTTGGGGCTTTGCAATTGTAAGATGATCCCAGCACCAACAGAATAGAACTTCAATCGGGGTGTGAGTGAGTGCTGATCGAGGACTTTCCCTTGCAGGTGTCCCAAAGGGATCTCTCCCAGAAAGCTGTCAGTGGGTTTACGGCCACTGCTCAAATCCAATCGGGGCAGGACGGAAACCACAGATGCGAGGACCTCTTTAAAATGAGAAGCTGGAGATTGACCCGCGCGAATCTTGCTGCCAAGGGCCCACAACAGGTCCAGCATGTAGAAGCTAAATGAGCCATAAGGAAATATATGTTAACAATTTGGCTTTAGCGGGTAGTTTGTGAAGCCCCTTCAAGGCGTGCACAGCTGTGTAAGAGTTGTGCGCCATGCGGACCACAGCGGAGTGCTAAGTGCTAGGCATCAGGTGCCTTGACAAACTGCCCCCTAAAACACTGCCCCAGCCGTGGGCGGCCTGTGTTAACCTTCTATTGCATTGGCACTTGCAAAGCCTTTGCTGTGTGGACGCGTTGCGCTGCCAGTAGCCGCCACAAGCAGCATTTGTCGATTTTCAACAGCTCGCTCCCCTACTGAAAGTGTCTTTTTGAAGCCTCTACAATGGCTGCTTTCCCTTTGAGCTTCTGGAATCGCAACGCCCCGTGCAACACATATGAACACTTCTTGGACTGCTCGAACTGGTTGTCCCGAAACGTGCTTTCTCCACAAGAGTATAGGTAATTTTGCAGCTTGGGGCTAGCCAGGAAGTACTGTATTGGTTTGGTATTCGCGTGCACTGGCTTAGTATATAGAATGGCTTTAGCATTTGGCCCAGTACTTTTTTTTGAATTGGTTGAGTACTGGTTCAGTATTCCATAGCGCTGGCCCTGGGTGCAAAGCTGGTTTCTCAATTACCTTCGAACAAACCATATTACCTTTCTGGGCGCTCCTGGGTGACAGTTTTAATAGAGAGTATCATGAATGATTTGGCTATTTGGGACCTTAGTCGGACCAGCTCTGCTTGGTAGCTTTTGGTTAACTTGGGGAGCTGCTGGGACTGGGGTATGGGGCAGGTTGGGTGCAAGCTCAGACATTGTCAGCCCCAAAAACCGTGTCTCACCCGGAAGTTTGGCCCCATTTCTTTTGTATTTCCTACCGGTTATTTTGTGTATTGGTTATGATTATGGTACTGGTACTTTCTCGGTTATTTATCCCCTTAAAGTGCTACTCTCAAAATGCTGGCTTCGGATTTCCTTTTGTTTCTTGAGGGTTTCTGTGATCTCCTTTGCATTCCGGGCCTTTCGCTGGGCCAGGTGGGCAGTTGGCCGCTGGCTCAGTGAGCACTCTGGGTGTGGCACTCTGGTTTTCTTGCGGCAGAAGCATCCTCCGAAAGGCCCCGCAATCAACCAGCTGAAGCCCCGAATGCATCAGGAACAGCCAGAGACTTCCAGCCAACTTTTCCATCCAAAGACCAAGTAGCCCAGACCCCGCCGCTTCTTTACTCCACACGGGTTCGCCGTTGATCGGTTTCAGGCAGGGTGTAGGTTCCCGCAGGCCTTTCTTTGGAAGAACGATGCTTTCAGCTTTTAAGGAATCCTGGGAAGATTTGTTTAGAGAATCAGAATATAGAAGGCGATCAGCCTCATGCAGGTTGCCGTTTGTTTATTTGTTGTTTTTCCGGGGGGAGGGGGCCATTTGCCAGTTGTTTTTTATAGCTGAAGCAACCCCAAGCGGGTACGATACTTTTGCCCTGCTCACGATGAAAAATATGTTGTTCTCGTTGCCTATACCTGGAAACCAAGGGTCAGGGAGCAGCAACGTGCATCAAATTGAATGTGGCAATGCCTCAGTGTTGAATGTGCTGCCCAGAGAAACGCTCCGCGAAAATGGCTTGCTATCCGCGTGACAGACAGCAACCACACCTGGCAACAGATGGCAGGTACTAATAGCAGATGGGACTGCAGGCACCTTCGCGCAAGCATTCCTGAGCGCAAAGCGTTTCCAGAAGCTACGAAAGCGACAAGCTGGATGAGCATACCATGGCGCAAAGGCTATCAAATCCGCACAACGCATGACCAGAGCAGTGAAGGGCGAAAACTCCATTTAGCTTGCTTTGCCCAGTTGTTCAGTGGCATTTCTGTCTCCCTTTCACCCGAGACCAGTCGACCTGAGGCCGACTTCCTTGGCTTCATGCGGGTCATGCCGCGCGGCTTCTGGGGGTTCGGGGTTTCGACGCGTCTGAGGAGACATGGACACAAGCTTGTCGCTTCCTTGCTGGGCCTGCGTAGCCCTAAGCCCAAAGCACAGCGGGCCTTCCATCGATTCAGCCTGCATGTCTTACCTATGGCCCCGTGCGTAACCTCCAACGAGCCAGGCCGGTGTTTGGCCATGGAAGCTGCTTTCCTCAGGCTTTACGCGGGAGGAACCCATGTTGGGCCCGAATGTGGCTGGCTTCCCCTCTCGCATTCAGCCTGGAAAAGCCGCTTCGCCCGAGGCGCCAGGTGGTCGATACGCTGGGCAGCTTGCCGCCGCGAAGCCCGGCCTGAGCCGATGTTCGGAAAAATCGGGTCTCCCAGTGCTTGGCAGAGCCCAGCGCTGGGAGAGGGGTTGCATTCCGGGCGCTAGACGCTGCCATCCTTTCTCACTGGCCAAGCTGGTTCCGCTTCATTTGGTAACTTGCAAGCTTTGGTTAAACTGGTTCCACTGACTAGCAATAAACTATAAAAGGCTTTATACGGTGGTTCGCAGCATTTTCCGCATGAAGGGACGCCTAGATGACACAACCTGCCAATGATTGAGGGAAACCTGAGAAATATAAGACTGCAACTTCCTCAAATTGGATGGTTTGTGCAGGTGGTCATAAACCACAATGTTGGATTTGTTTGTAGGGCAGCGCCCAAAACCCATATTGACAATTCGATCTGGTGGTTCTACTACTTGGTTTGCTTGGGATGCTAGTTAATGGGGTTTGGGCACTGTGGCACCGTTCATGTGACGTCTGGGTTGTAACAGGGAGCCATGTTACTTCAGCGCGCTGTCCTATTATTCAGTGATTTTGCAGCAAAACTAACAGGTGGCCCCAGTATGGCTTTTTTTGCCTACCCCATGGCGAAACAAACATGTTTGTGTGATGTCAGTCAACTGCCTATGAACTTGAAATAGCTTGCGATGCAAATGATGTAAAAAAGAGGGTCCCCAATCAAGCATTGCACCATCACACCAGTTCGGTCAAAGATTCCGGCAGGCTCGTTCTCGATGAAAGCCAGGGGGGCGAGCCCGAAATGTCCCATGCCCCTTTTGGGTAAAATACTTTCGGCCGCTCAAGTGGCGCGGGTCTAGCTCCCATCTTCCAGCGCCGATTCGCATGGGACGGACGCGCTCTTCTGAATCCACGGGGCCAGCGCCTAGAGGACGGTCTGGATTGACTTGTTCAACTGTTTTAATGGTCCCGTACTTGTGGATCCCTTACTTCAGATGGCTGAAGTATCATTTTCCAGCCAGACATTTCCGCTTGGCGGCTTCTGCTCGTTGGTTCGCCGATTCGTTTCGTGGCCCCGTATTTACGAGGTGCCAAGCACATTTGGGCTGTTGGCCCGGGGGCTTTGCCACTTGAAATTGGGTCAGCTCCGCCCGGCCTCTCGCTTTGGGTTTCTTGCTGCGCCGTCACTGACTTCAATTTCTGGGTTCCTTATTTTGAACTTTTGCGGGACAAGCTTCACCTCGGCATGGCAGTTTTCATTTCGCCATTTCCACCTTTTTGGAGCGCCTTGCTGGTAAGCAGCATTTTTTGAATCTGGAAGCAGCAAGAAAAAATGGAAGGGGTCCTTGAATACGGGTGTTTCCGGGTGCCATGCTTTTCCATGAGGAACGAGCTCAAAAAGTGCCCATCCCAATGAAGTCCACCAAAGGATCCCGAATTCAGATTCATGCCCACCACAAAGGGAAGACCCTGTGGGGCACCTTTGGTTGGTTCCACGTGAACTTGGAGTTTAAGGCTGGCCATGATGCAGGAACCTTGTGCCTCCCACCGCCCCAAAGGAAGAAACTAGAGGCCGCTAGGACCTGACGAAAATTGTCCCTTTAGGAAAAGTCTACAGGGACCCGTGGGGTCGGTTTCATCTAACAAGGAGGGTAGAGGCCATACAAACTCCGGCAAATGAAAGCAGTAACGGACAAAAACAGAACAAACAAAGAAATTGTGATAGCAGTAGTGCCAAACATGATGGCAATTACATTCTTGAACCATCTAGTCCCACCATTGCTTTGCACCGTTGCGAGTAGGCGGAGCAACACAAGTTGATGCTCCGAGAGCGACCCTGGCCCTCAGCGTTGCTTTGCAGTTCTACAGGTGGCTACCCCATCCCGAACAAAAATAATCGGACACTTTATTGGGATCGTACTCCGCCTGTTTCCTGGAAGGACAGCTGGTTTTTTGCTACCGTGGCAGCAGGGTGTGCGGGGGGCTGTTTAACAGATCCTGGTTGGAGTTTTCAATGTGCTCTACCAGGATGCGATCACCGACCTGCGGACCTTCAAGCTTTGACGTCTGAGCCCCTCAAACACCCAAGCCAAGGCACTAAAGAGATCAGAATCTGGGGCTGGGCAAGAGGGCGATTCCCATTGGGCAAGTGCAGTTGATTTGAAGGGTGATTTGTGAAATGCCATGCGCGTTGGAATCCTTCCAAGAAGGCTCCCAATGAGCCCCTGCCAAGCAAGGATTGTGGCAGGGGGGTTCGGCTGAAGTTGATTTGATTTTCGGCAGGGCGACAGCCGTTCGGGAGTTTGAGCCCATATCATCCGACATTCGGAAAGTTCTGTACAAGTACTGGTCGACGACCATGTGCTGAATGTGTTTGGCACTTGACCTGCCTGTGGTTTGACGCTTAGCGCACGTGCCTGTTCCAAGCCGCACTCCACAGAGATGGCTGTGACGGCAAAGGTGGAACGCGGTGCGGAGCTACGTGCGCTCAGGCGAAAGAGAGAGAGAGGGAAGCGAAAGGGGAAATCACCGTTTGGGGTCCAAGACCCTTTTTTGACATGCAATTTGAGTCATCACTTCTTTCTTGCGGATTCTTTGCAGCGTGCTGTTCCGAACGTTGGCTAGGAGGCCCCCATTTTTTGAAGCCAAATGAGAGAGCGCTGGCCGGATTTCCTGACTGCGTCAGGGAGTCGGCCTTCGGCTGGAGAGGTTGCGGATGGTCGCCCGGCACAGTCAAGGCAGCCCTTTTGCTGTGCCGGAAGCTTGTTGAGTGTTCAACCTTGTCAATTCAACACCTGCTTGATCTGGGCGATTGAAGGTCATTGTGTTTTGTTTGTGAGCTTGGGTGCTCATACGGGCAGACGTGACAAATGCAAGAAAGCTGTTTATAAGCCACAAGAAGGACAGTTGGCCGGCACATCTGTGGGGGGTGATCAGTTGTGCCTCTCACTTGCCCAAAGCCGACCTTTGTCCCTTTGGTTTTCCAATCCTCCCTAGGTGTTCATGGAACTCTCACAGGGGCTCCCCCAAAAGAAAATTCCCCTATGTAAAAGGACGACTTATATTTCAATTTGCAGGGTCCCTTGGGCAAGTCGAGGGTCTGCCGCGACGACTTGTGCCCCTGCTTCGCCTCGCGCCTCTTTTGCCGCCGACCTGACTTGGATTAGTTGGGTAGCCGGGGGACCGCGCCAACAAGCAGAATTCCAAGGAGGTGTTTCAATCTGCCATTTCTAGAGAAATACTTGTACTGTTTCGGATGAAGTCTTTAGGGTGTAATCCAAGGGTGTGCTGTAACAGACAAACCCTTAGACTGATGGCTACCATTTTGTTACGTTTGAGCCTCCTAGAAATTCAAGGGGGCATAGTCAGCTCTCATTTCACATCATGTTCGTTGCCATGCCCAAAAGCGGAGTCAGCCCATCCCGGCAACGTCACGCGATCCAAGCCAAGCAGACCTCCAGGATGCCATCCTCATCTCGTCGTAGCGTGGACGCTAGTTGCGGCCCATCCGCTCGCACTCCCAAGCTGCCGTGACCAACTTCCCAAAAAGCTGCGGACCCTCTCAAGTCAAGTTGTCCAAAGCTGGCATCTTGGTGGGTCATGAGAGCAACAAAAAAAATCCATCAGGAATTCCCTGAGGTTTTCACTTCTTTCGTACGGCCCCAGTGAAGAAAACCTCGGTTGCGAACCGCAAAATTGTGGTTCCCCCCAAACTTGCTGGTTCTCAGCCGCGAATCTTCAGGAATGCGCCTAAGCAGCCGACCCCTGGTTTGTGGGAAACGTCAGGCTGAGAACCCGCGAATCAAAACTCATCAGCCATGACCTGCTGGGACTCCTTGGCCTACTGGCTGGACCCTTGGCCCTGGCTGGTGGTGGAGGTGCCAAGGCGCGTGTCCATCCAGCGGCCTGGCATGCAGTGGGGCATGCGGCGGGGCTTTCGGGGAGGGGGGGGGCTTTCGGGGAGGGGGGGGGGAAAGCCTGGGTAGGGAACGCTCATGTTGAACGGAGGTTGAACGGTTGCAATGTTGCTGATTTTCTGGTGCAAGAGCGAGTTTCTTCGTTTTGGCTGGGTTGTGATATCTCGTGGTAGTTTTGTTCACTGAAGGTTGCAGATTGCTTCCTTGCAAGGCCCCCCATGATTTTTCAACCTTTCAGTTGTTGAACGAAGCGGTGGAGGACTCAGAAAGGAGGCCATGCCATTTTTGCTAGCAAAAGGATCCATTGTATTTTAGGTTAGCAGCCCAACAGCCAGTTTGGTCCCACTGCCAGTCCGCAGATTGCTCCAAGCCGTGGCTGATCACCCGGTCAAACAGCAATGTTCTGAGTGGGCTTCAAGCGAGCATTGGTGGGGGTCGTGAAAATTACTTTGGGACGCGAGGGAGTTTCTCTTTCAAGGGGCAAGTTTGAAGGCGCCTGATGTTGGGCCCACAAAAGCCAAACCTGTAGCTGGGATGGACATTTTGAAAGGGCCGCCCCAAAAGTGTTTGGGTTCCATGCGAGCTGCTTCAGGGCATCCATCATTACATTGACACGCCCGTGTTGGGTTTTAGGGGGGGGGGGGGTGGAATCCTTTCTCGATTTTCCTCGGGAAAGCTAGCGTCGCGGCGCAGGTGCATCAGGCGTAGGAGGCTCCGCAAAGTGAAGTCCCGCCTGCTATTGAATCTTTTCATGACTGGTCTCATGTCCCTGATCCATTTTAAAGGTTTGGATGGTCACTCATGAGGCTTTGTTTTGTTACTTTCTGGCAACAAGAGACCAGAGTTGCATGTGGATTTCCTGGCCAAAGTTCCAGTTTCAGGGCTTTACCCTGTGATTTTAGGGGATTCTACCAAGCTTGAAAGGTTTTCCAGCTCCCGGCAGGTTTAGCTTGATTCACTTTGCGCGGTGGCACGTGCCGGCCCCTAAGGAGCAGGCGCTTGTCATGCTTCTACTTTGTCTTGGTGCTGGGAGTGACCATCTATGTGAGCCTAAGCAAAAAACAAGTTGTATGTCCGCGCGTGGAAAGCTTGGAAAGCGTTCATATTTGTTGTTCAAGCTGTGTCAGAAGGCTGGCAGCTTCTTTTACGCAGCCTTTGGACTGCCATTTTTCCAGCTGAAGTGAATCACCGCGCACAAGTGCTCGCCGCCAACCGGTGGCGGATGAGCTGTTCAGTCAGCCTTTCGCTGGCCCCAACTAGGCCCTTTGAAGGCAAGCTGCCGTGAAAGGCCGAAACATTTGGCGTAGCTCTTGCGCAGTGGTTTGCCAAGGCTAGGGATTTACATCAAGCCATTTTGAACGGCCCAGCGATGCTGTTCCCACAAGGTTGCCATGAATCAACATAAAAGCGCCAAAGAAAGCCGGGAAGCAAAGGGGCATATCAGGCCGATTCGCTTCGGGCAACTGAGCCTAGGGGAACTGGGCCAAGACGCGCCATGGGCCAGGGGCAGTCCTTGAAGAGCATGTTCCTCTTGGTGACTTTCAGAAAGGGCATGCTTCGCTTCAGGTTTCTGGCTGGCCACTTTCCAGGCCCAAAATGTTTTTTCGTGGTGAGCAGGGTTGGTGGAAGCCACGGTTGAAGCCACTAACCGGACCAGGGGTTGCTGTGCGAACAGGAAGCAATGACTCACCTTTGGCTGGCGTTGACGCGAAAGTCAACGCATGACATGACTTGATTGAAACGTTGCCAAGTTTGGTCGTGGGACTCGCCAATGCTTGTTCGTTGGGGTAAGATAGTTGTTAATCGTGGCTCATTTGGGCAACAAGCATGCATCCCACAGCAATAGAGGGATTTGTCATCGCTGTGAACCGCGGTCGGTTGGTCCTGCGTGCCGGTGTCCAGATCTGGAGCACGTATTGCTCGCGCCATGCCTTACGCGCATTGCAATCCTTTGGCTGCCTTCCCACCAACGGGAACCTTTTCCAAGAAGACTGCAGTTTTTCAACACGGCTCCGTGCACTCCCATGTTTGTTGCAGGGTGCACCCCGTACATCTTGTGCCTTGCCCAAAAGCCAACGTTCTGAAGCTTTGCGTCATGAGAAGACTACTTTGGGCGTCCAAATTTACAAAGCCTTCCCAGGGATGAGACGTGGCTTGCGCCTTGCGAGGTCGGTGGACTTTATCACCGCGGAGGCGGGCGGTGGAAACATCGGAGCTCAGGAAATCGAAGTCTTCCGGGAATGAACTCGGGGATTCAGATCATTTTCCGCAGTTGAGAACCGGAAAGAAGAGGAGGTCCTCTACAAGGTTTCATGTCAATCCGTGGGAGGTCTGACGGGTGGAAGCAGTAGTGACGCCTTGGGATCCTAAACGGGGTTCAGAATCAGGATTGAAGTTGTTAATTTTGGGCCCTTCAACAACTTCCTAGAATCTAGGGGCTGTCTTTGACAACTCTAGAAAAGACACCTTGGCTTTTGGTTGCCAGGTTCTTAGTTTTACCTTGGCCCGGCAGTTGCCAGGATTTCTCGTTTTTGTTCTGGACGAACGCAGTTTGGGCAGCAATCAGGGTGAACCGGAGAATGCGCTTGCATGAGCATGGGCGGGTGGCACGCCTTGCCCAGAGCTGGTAATTAATTCATAGTCCGGGGTGGTTTTGCTCAGGTCATCGGAGTGAAAGAGACTCAGGGAAAGCCGTAGCCATTGTCTTAGCTCCAATAGTTCTTTTGAGGAGGAGGTTATACACTTTGTTTCCCGAAAGGTGGCGAGGCGCTTCTCACTTTGAAATGAGCTACGAAGACAACACACCAATGGAGGGTATGGAAAAATAAGGCCCCGAGGAAGCAACAACGCCATGCATGGACACTTCGGCTAGTTCGCAGGCACGGTCCCCCCCAAAACCCAACACCCTAAAGAAGGTTGCTAAACAGATCCACCCCAACTGTCCACCATCCCCCCCCCCAACCCCAACCCCCCCCCCCCACCCCAAAGCTGGCGCCAGGCCTGGCATGGGAAGGCCCTGGTGACCAGCGGCACCATCACCGCCTGGCGGGACGTGCCCACCAACGAGGGCGAGCTGGGCCCAGAGCACTGCGCACAGCCCCACATGCCGCTTGGGTCGGAGCTGGCTGGTCCAGCCGAACACGTCGGCTGGTTCAAGGGTCGTAAAGTAGTGGCAGCTTGAGGGGTTTTACTTTGGGAGTGGTCCATCTTTGTTGGAGATAAAGAAGGGGAAGACAGAAGACCTTGGCTTTTTCGCTGAACAGGGTGCTTTAGTCAGGGCAAACCGGTCTTCCAACATGTGCAGAATTATTTCTGTTTTGTAACAAACTATGTTGTTTGACCCAGCGGCGATTGCTTTCGCCTGCCGGCAGCTTTGAGTGTTTGCACAAGCTGGCATAAATCAAAATTGCAAAACGTCGAAAGTTGCCGGCGAACAATGGCGTGTTTTGTTGCATGGTCGCGAGCTGGACTCACGTCGAGTGGTTCTTCTCCGAAAAAGAGTTTTCTTCAGCAACCGGCGACACATATTCCTGTTTTGGGAAACGGCGTTAATTTTACATGGTCGGAAGGTCCAGATATGAGCTCCAAGCCATGTTGGCAAGCCAGCAAGCTGAAGGTTTGCACCATTGCCTTTGCACTGGCCAATAGTATTGACTTGTCTCCTCTGCTGCAGGCAACATGCAAGTGCACCCGCTGTGGAAGGCACTACCTTTTTGTATTGGACCCTACACCTGGACAATGCATTATACGCAGCAAGGGCTTCATCATGAGCCAGAGGCTTGCAGCAAGACGTTAGGACTCGTTCGGCTGCGATTTCCAACTTGGCAAGTCCAATTTCAAGTCGGCTTGAATCAAGACAATATGCGGGCTAGGCTTACCAACCATGCAACCTATGCAGCCACATGCAAAGGGGTGTTGGGATGCTGGAGGGTGAGCCCAATCTACGGGGCAGCCTCGACGGCGTATCGCACGCCAAAAGGTTTGCAACAGGGTGGCCAACAGGCCTGCCCATTTACTAAACATTTGAAACATTCCCTTTCTTAAGGGGGAATGTCATTGAGTTTGTTTTATTGTTTGCTTGTTTGCTTGCTTGCTTGCTTGCTTGCTTGCTTGTCTGTCTGTCTGTCTGTCTGTCTGTCTGTCTGTCTGTCTGTCTGTCTGTCTGTCTGTCTGTTTGTTTGTTTGTTTGTTTGTTTGCGTGTTTGTTTGCTTTGGGTTACTTTGTTTCGTGTTGTGTTGATTTGATTTGTCTTGTCTGTTTTTTTTTTTGGTAGTGTGGGTTGCTTTGAGGTATGACCTGAATTATAGCGACACCTTCGTGTACCGGCCAAGGCTGGGGGGGTTGGGGTAGGTCGGAAACGGCGGCTGGCGCCCATGGATTGAAACCCTGGTCGTTGGCCTGATCTTGGGTTTTTGAAGTGTGGCCAATCGTGATCCCCCGGCGGACTAACATGCTTTCAGAATTTCAGATTATATTTGCAGGAGAGTAAGCATGGTAACCTAGGGGGGCTCTCACATTCGGGTTCTGTATGTCTGTGCGCAGCACCCTGTTAGAGCCTATGGCAGCCTATGGGTCACGCAAATGGGCAAGGGACCAGATAGCAGTACCTGACCAAGATTAAGATCCATCCTTTCCCGCAAGGTCCATGGGGCACTGGGCAACTAGAGCAACAAGGCTGTTGTTCTTTGAGGGCGAGGGATGGTGTTGACGTTTGGACTCCTGAAGGTGTGCCATGGTCACGTCACGGGCTCGAAAGAGGATGTCCCTACAAGGATTTCAATTTGTGACCATTTCGCTTGCCACCAGGTTGCCGTTCCCATTCAGCGCAGAGACCCAAAACGGATGCCACGAAAGGGATGTTGCTGCAGCCTCGTGTCGCACATTTTGTCCAACTGAAGGGTCACGGACCCCTGGTGTACCCTAAAGAAACTAAATACCCCATATACGGGTAGCGTAATATAGAAAAAGGTTGAACGGCTTCATAGCTGGGCTAGGGCAATGGCATTTGTACATCCATGCAGCCATGCAAGAGAAGGCATGTCTACAAATAGATACTTGTGGTGTGCACCTGCTGCACATGTGTGATTCCGTTGTGGGTCAAACATGACCGAGAAGGTACGGAGGGCAAGATACTGAGCCATTTCAATAAAGAAACAGGGCACCTAATACAGAGCAATTGTTCGGAAGGCACAAGCCGCCAAGCAAATCCGCTGGGCATGAAAACTATCAGCAAACATCAATCCCACCCTAAACCTATGCTAGACCATTACTAACTCCGTGCTAAGCAGCGCAGAAGTTTGCATCAAAAACGCCCAGGGCCACACACAACAAACATGTTGACTTCAGCCTTGTTCATGCGGGTGGGGCCTTTGGTTTTGCGGCCTCTTTGTGGGATAGCCAGGGGATCTACTTTAAATCATGAAACCATACTTGAGAAGAGGATGGCTACGGGCACAAAAATCAGACCGACTGTATTCTAAACTCATCAGGCGTGCATATCAAACAAAACTCAACCAATACTAAGCTGATACGATGAACAACCCAAGCCAAAGTGGGTTTCAACGGTTTTCTCAACTGCCCCCTCCCCCCAGTATTGCTCAAGAAGAGCTCTCAGCAATCAGCCACCCACAGTACACCATGCTTCTGCCATGCACCAGTGTAAAAACACACGCCGGATGCGTTGTACGGTTCACACCCTTGCGTACCATGGCATTCTCCCCCCCCCCCCCCGCAATGCCGCTTGCAGGAAAATACGATGGATACGTTTCCCCTTACGCGAGGTTGAATCAACTGCTGACCTTTCTCGGGACCTCTTAGGCACAAATGAGTTCTCTACCCTCAACCCCAAACCCAAAGAGGTGTCCAACTTTGGTTCTCAGCAAGCCAAACAAGGGTTCCCCCCATACGACACCTAAGTGACACCCCATGGACTGGGCCCATGAGGTCGTGCCGCCCGCTCCTGGGCAGCGCGGCCTTCCGGAAGCAAGGCGCAGCGGGCTTCGCCGATCGGCGGATTGGGGCCGTGGAATCCGCTGGCAGACGCGGTAAAATCATGTGGTCTTTTAAAGGTATAGTCGGTATAGGTGTTTTTTGGTGGTTTTGGGATTTGTCTTTTAAAGGTAGTCGGTATGGCTGGTTTTTTTTGGGTGTTTCGGGCAGGAAGTCAGGTTGTTGTGTTTAAAGGTATGGTGTTTGTGTTTTGGGAAGGGGGTGTGTGTCATAGGAGAAGTTTGGGATGAGCCTGGGATAGGTTTTATGAAGGGATTCAATGAGGCCATGGACCCCTCCCATAGGTCCCCTAGGGCTCCCTCATACTGAAGGGTTGCTTGATAGACGCTGAAAGTGGAAGCTTTTCAAGCAAACAACAAACCACGAAGTGTGAGGAGGTTGCCCCACCTCCCTTGCGTGGCCGGGCTTCACACTTTCGGAGCTTGGACACTCCGACATCCGGGCCACTAATTGCGGGGTACTTGCTGTTGCTCAGAGGTGACCAAGACCAAACAGCCAACCAGCGCAGAATCCTCTGGGGCAGCAACGCAACTTTGTGAGTGTTCAGCATTATCTGCAGCGCGTTGGGACCCGGGCTGAACCTCAAGTTTAGGCTCCAAATCCTGAATTTCCCGCCCAGCATGACACGCCTTTGCCTGAGGCAACACGTCCCTCTGAGCGGGGGGGGGGGGGCGGAGGGGTTTTTCCGGCTTGCGAGGACGAGGCTTCCGTAGTTCTGTTCGCCCCTTCTTGAGTTGTCCCTAGTGTCACGAAAGAGCGCGTGTTCACTACCGTGTTCATATTGCTTGCATTTCAGGGAGCTTTGTAAAATCATGCACGTGCCAACATGGGCAACGTCATTTCAACATGTGTTTGGCTTCTTACATGGGCGCTTTTTGCCATACCAACTGCGGATCTGGCAACGGTTGGCCCCTGATTCCAGTCAGCGCTTGGACGAAGCGGGACGCGCAACAAATCACCTGCGTACAGAGCGCATGCCTCTCGAAAGGTTGTCCCTTGAAGATGTGCTGGGCAGGCAGTTGGCTTCATTTCCCCACCTATGTGGAGGAGACGCAACCTGGCCGCAGTGAGGCCAATTTGGGCGAGGCAGCTTTGGGGCGTCCAAGAGGTTTGACTCGTTTGGTTTCCAACTTGCACGTGCTGAACAAAGTTCCACTGTCAAAAAAACATTGCCCTGTTGAGATTTGGGGACTTAGGTTTCTTAGGAAGAGGCCGCTTGAGATTCGTGATTTGAACCCCCCCCCCTCCCCACATACCTCCAGTTTCTCTTGTTGTTCCATCCTTGTGGGGTCTTTCCAACACCTGCCTTTTTGCGATGCGCCGATGCGCCTGGGCCCAAAGCTGCCTGATCACATCTGCCCGGGTCCAAATTTGCGTTTGTTTGATGAGGATGCTCTGCCCAGCTTAGTTTGAAGGACAACGGTTGAAAACCTTGATGTCTTTTTTTCGAGGGGGGAAGGGCTATTTTGACAACCCCACCAAGCAATCGTGACTTAGTCCATTTGGGCTGCATTCCTGCTGGGAGGAGGTTTAGTTTTACCTCCGAGACCGCTTGTTGCGCGGGAGGGTGTGGGTGAAAACTCGGGAGCCAAAGGGAAACCAATTGGAGGTCGCGATTGGCTCAGGTACTCCTGGACTTACAGCGATTGCTCCAGAACTTCCAAAGAAGCGTGCAGCAGCATGGACTTCCCTGGCGCGCCTCAGATGAGAAGCAACCGTGCGCTAACGGGCGCACCAGGGGGGAAGGGGAGAGTTGGTGGGAGGGGTGGGGGGCGGGCAGGGCGTGTGATCCCTCAGGATTACTGTTTTGTTTCGTTCTTTCTTTTTTTGTTTTTAAATCAAACAACCCTGGACCATACTGTGGCCACCTTTGAACGGGAAGGAAAAGGACAATGTTTGAACGGCCGCTTTTTTGTTTGACATGTGTAAGGCTTGATTCAACAAGGCAGCCCTGTTCCTCACCTTGAACATGGAGTTTGGGAAGGGATGCCCCGGACCCCGTTCCGTTTGCGGCGACTCACCCACCTTGGGCGCAGGCAGTGATTGGGGCCAGACCCCACATCAGAGAGGTGATTAGCTGGAATGAACGGCAGCACGTTCTGGGGTCCAAGTGCACAACAGGTGAATGCCAAGAAAGAATACCACTTGAAACCGATCCCGAAACTGATACTCAAACTAGCAAAACCGACGGACTGCCCAAAACAGGACATATTGTCCGTTGCTCATGTGCGCAGCTCAAACCTGCTTGCATAATCCTGCGACTTTCTTACTTGTAGCCCACTGCTTTCAGAGCTGATCGCAATTCAGGTCAAAGATCCCCTTGTGTCGGAAGAATTGTCAGAAGCTCTTTACCTTTACGTTGTAAGTTGAACGAGGGCCTGAGACGAAGTTCGGGTGTTGCAACCGTAGGCAGTTGACCTGGAGGTAGAATCCTTCCCTGAACAAAGCAGATGGAACCTGAACAAAAGCTCCCATGGTAGCGAGCACCCTGTTTTCAGGTTAGATGTAAGTTTCCTGGGGGTGGCCCTGGTCACTCGAGCCTAGTCAGAACAGGTCACATGACATACACAGGGGATCAAAACCTTATCGGGCCTTCGCGGAAAGGGAGAAAGCCAGCACTGGCTATGCTGAAACCAGGCTTCCCCCAAGTTGCAGATGGGCCACTTGCCATAGGAGGGCGTCTAAGAGAAGTAGACGGGTACTGCAAAGCCAACCCTGATACATAGATTTGTTGTGTATCCCTTGTAACTCCATGCCCACAGGGTTTCCCACAAGACTGAAGCAAGATCCAACGCTTCCCACTGGCACAGGTGTCAAAATGGGGTTCGGAAAACCCCCCCCCCCCGGTCAAGTGGCTCCCTTTGCCCGTCCCTTGTTTAGAGACTCCCTTGGAATTGGGGGTGAACTTTAAATAGGAGCCCTTTGGTGGACATCATGCAGGTGGGGCTTCATGTCCAGCAACCGCTTTTCGGGGGTGGGGGGGGGGTTATTGAAACTCATAGCCATTTGAGAACGAAAACAGCCTCAACAAGTATCTACGAGCTTGCTTGGGGGTGGACGAGCTCCCGCACGAGGAAGGTCCCTTATTGGGGTTTCCTCTTGTCAGGTGAATGAGTTCCTGAAGTTTGCCCAGACATACATTTTGTTGCCCATTGCCCATTGCCCATTGGCCACGTCAGGGATTCTTCTAGGGGTTGATTCGCCATCGTTCTTTTCAATAACCAGCCATTTCCCCACAATGGTTGGTGGCTTTCTAGAAAGGACTTTTGGAAAGAATGGAAATGGAACTTGCCCCTAGAATGCTTGGGTTTTCTCCGGTCGGAGGACTTGTCCGAGAGCACGGAGGTGACCTTCTTCGAAGCCGAGGGCCGTTGCATTTGCCAGATGAAGGATAGCTTCTTCGCCCAGCGGCCCGAGGACTGAAGCTCCTATGGATGGCTGTGCCTGGGCCCTGGAAAGGTGGATGGTTTCGCAGGGCTCCTTAAAAGATACATCTGGCCCATTTGAATGGCTTTTCCCACCAAAATAAAGGGACACCATCATTTACAAGGCAATGTTCAGGTGTATAATGTAAGGATCCCTGTTTCGGAACGTGGGGACATTGTGATCAAGTTAGGTGGAGGTGGGAGATGCAGAGATCAGTTGAAGTGCAACGCAAGTCATATATGACTTGCATGTACCGCAAGGGAAAATTTGACACAATCCGAGTTGTTGATGGTATGCTGGTGGTTGGCAAAAGTGTGCGCGCAACAAACGGGGAACTCCGACTGCCTAGATCGCTTCGGCACAGCAGTTCTAGAGCAGGGGGCGAGCCGGGAGATGCCCCGCAGCTCAAATCCCTGGGGCGGGAAGTAGCCGCAGCTCAGATGCCGCCCGTGGTAGCTTACCTACTCCCTGGCAGACCTCTAGTTTCATCTACTGTAGTGGCTGGTGTTACTCGCAGCATCGCCAGAAAATTGCTGGTGATTTGTGGCTGCATTTAAACAAACTTGTTCGGGGTTCCCTTTGACGGGGGTCAAGCTGGGGTTGAAGCATGTTTTGCCCAACCCTGACAAAGGCCCGTAGACAGGAAGTGTCGCTTGGCAATCTTTACCTTGTCGAGTGCCGGGTGGGGACCATGAAAACGTCATGCGGGGCCATTCTAAAGGGACACCCGCAGAAGTTGACGCGTCCTCCAAATTCACATTGGAACACAAGCAAAGCCTTGGGGAGGAAAACTGTAGGGGAATCTGCACATAAACATTGAGCATGCAAGGCAATTCCGCTGCACATTCACGTGAAACCTCCTCATGTTCAGAAGCGCTCAGAAAGGGGTTGTTGGGCTTCATGACAGTTTTGGGGGCAAGGAAGGACTGCAGTTCGAACTTTGTCTCCAGGATGAAGTGCTGGTTTTTGAGCACAGCTACTTCCTCCCGCGCGTGTGCCTGGGTCCTTCTGGCGCTTTGCATTGTCCAACTAAACTTTCAGATTCCCAGCGACACCATTTGGCACCATGTGGGGCCTTTTTCTCCTTTTCTCTTGGGACCCCTTTCAGCTCCACACGCGAACAAGAGTGCCATTTTCCCGATTTTTGACTGCGCATTCCGTACAGCTAGGAGGCGCAACACCAAGATTTCGGTGCTCTCTCCGGCATTTCTAAAGACAGTCAGTCCTCTTTCAGTTTAGGTGATCCAAAGCGAAGGCATGCAAAGGCCATGTCAACCATGCCTTTGACGAGTGCGTGGCCTTGAGCCCGTGTAAACCATTGGAGTCATTGGAGTCTTGGCTGCGGTTGGTGAACCACTTTTCAGTGGCCTTGGGTTTCGCAAGCTGTTGCCCTTCAGCTGGCTGTTCCCCAAATTAAGCGACAATCTATGGTGAACGATTCCAGTCTGGACGGTTTCGTGCGCAGTAGCCACATCGGCACCGACTGAATTATATCCCGCAGGCGTGGCATTCTAAGTCGGTGCGTTCAGCCAACATATTTGGCATCGTTGCGCAGGCGTGTGCGTTTTGTAAACTAAGGGAGCTCTATATATATATATATTCAATATAATGGTTGATCTTCTTTTGCGTCTTGGAGCGCGATCCACCAGCACCAGGAGTTTAGCACAACCCTGTACAGCATCGGAAGTCTCATCGCACTACTTTTTGGCCGGCGTTTGGGCTGTGATGGGCAGGCGGCCGGAAACGAGGAACGGAACGATGTCTTTGTAATTTGTCAGGTCTACCCATTCCCTGCTAGATTTGAAACTCGTTTTTCGGGCAGAGTTGAAAGGAAACCCAAGGAAAGACTGGCCAAAGCCGTGTCCCTCAAAGTGTCCAAAAAAGCGTCCCGCGACGGGAATCGCTTGCGATGGCCAAAGGATAAGCGACGTGCCCTTCTTCGGGCTGCCGGAATGGGGTCGCACGGCTGCATGGGGGAGGGCAGAGGCTAACTAGGTAGACGCGCCATAGAAGACCGTGGTGTTTCGGCCTCATTGCGCGTAGGTTTGAATTCTAAATTCCGCTGGTTCTGCGAGAGCACAGCTTCTTCCCCGCTTGAACTCCATTTTCTAGGGGAAAAGTGGAATCAGCGTTTCGCTAGGCGACACGCACATTCACGACACAAATTAAACCCCCAACTACTTGTTCATATTCGGCCCCACTGCTTGCATTTCAAAGCATGTACTTCGCCAGGTAGTGAGGAGAGTCCCGAAATTCTGGTGGTCGAGTTTGCAAGAAGAACTGAGTAACAATCACATGCACCCAATCAAACTACCTAGATACCACGGGTCCACCAGAAAAACAAATAAAAAGAAGAAACAACACTTCAGCACGGGAGTGGTGTGTAAAAGCCGGGCGCGAATTGGACGAACTGATGAGCATAACACAGGCAAGACACAGCAACATGCCGTCACTTAGGCAGCTGAGTTGAAAGGCCTCATGAGCGTGGTCGTCACCACGGAGTTATTCCCCCGCAAACCAGCACGCCCATCGACAACAATCAGAACACAATCAGAATTCGCTACGGCCGTCTACGATGCGTGTTCCAACTAACCAAGGCGTCACTAGAAGCATGCAGCGGCTTTCATGAGTTCGAAATGCTGGCTTCAGGAAGTGCGTTTCCTGAATTGTCCCACCACCCGAACATGAGGCCAAAACAACACCAACAAGTTGTTAATCCCCCTGCATTGAGGACCTCCCGCGCGTCTGTCGAGCTGTTTGTGGGGCAACTGCCATATGCATTCTCGAGTGTCTAGAAGGCTGTTGGGATCCAAAATTCTTCAGCCCCTGGGCATTAGTCGCAAAGTTTAACATGGCCCAAACATGTTTTTGTCACCCGCAAAATGGTCCCAGCCTTTTTGTTGCAAACTCCAGGCTCGGATGCGGCGAATCTTTGGCTCCACCCCCTTCTAGTAAAAGAGTACCCTTTTTCGACCAATCATGGAAGTGGACAAAGGGCTTGTTGAACAGGATGGTAGTCCAGAGCGTCTTGTCCACTTCCATAAGAGGGTAAGGGTAGAAAAGGTGCGGGGGAAAGGCAGTGGAATCCGCCGAAAGCTCATCACTGGCGCAAGATTCATTCTAATTGCCATAGCCGGTGGAGCCCTGAGAAGTTCACCTTTGGTCCAGGAATAGGCCCCTGGTCACGAATCGCTAGTCACTGTGCTCTCATGGATCCCAGGCGACACGCTGACCATCATCCTCAGCCCCAACGGCACTCGGTGCGTGCGGCCCCAAGCGCGATGCTGATGCGAAGCCGGTCTCGGTTTCGGCCTGCAAACAGTTTGGCCCTCGTTTCTTCTAAGCTTTATGGATGTTTTCCCTTTTGCACCCACCTTTCCAGGCTTTACCCTGCTCGCTTCAAGGCTCGTGCTGCGATTCTCAGCGTTCAGAGTGATTTGGGAGGTGACCAGCTGACCCGTTCTTTCCATGGCCATCTGGGCATCGCTTCGTTTGAGCCCCTGTCAGATGATATCTTTAGCACAGGCCAAGCCGGTGTAGGCAAGAACTCCCAAAAGTGCTATTTCGTGCAGTCCCCGAATGGACTTTGGAGCCGCTTCGGCTTTCTTTTGAAGACATTTGGAAGCATGTTGAGGCATGTGGCATGCTCACAAGCAGTTTAGCCGCCGCCACGAAGCTTAAAGCTTCTGGGTCGGGGAATGCGGACGTGCCAAGCCTTTACCAGCTTGCTTGTCGAGTGGGGTGCCTACAGAAAAAATGGTGGAATTCACGGGAAAAGCCAATCATACAGGGACCCCTGTTTTGAGAAGCACCCAGATGCCCAGGTGCGAGTTGAAACAAGTGCCCTTCTGAGTCTAACACCGCCAAGCTGCAAGCAGTCTGTCCATCTCACTTCAGGCTGCTACCCTTCCACTTCAACAGTTTGCACAAAAATGCAGATTTTGTTTGCTCCTGGTTTGTTCTTTCAGATGCCCTGTTTGGAAAATTGTACGTCTTTCCTCCGGTGACTCCGTGGGAAACTCGCCGGGAGCTAGGAAGTTGCTGGGCGCTCGACCTGGCAGGAGCACGAGGCCGGGTGTTTTCGGAGAGTTTGTCTCAGAAGCCCCTGCCTTCTGAGCAAAGCCCGCAGCGATATCCTTATATCATGGAAGGGGTGTGCATTTCGAGGTATGTTGGCTAGTTCTTAGGGTTTGGTATGACTTGTGTGTCTTACTTGCTCATGGTGGAATGAGAGTGGCACGAGGGGTATGAGTGGTATAGTTGGTGTCAGCGGTATGGTTGGCATGAGTGGCATGTTGGCATAAGTCGTGTTGTCGGTTTGATCGCTGAATGGGCGCGAGTCAGAAGCCGGTTAATTATTGATCTGGATTGGCCTTTGCTTTCTCTTTTCTTTTGTTTGTTTCCTTCTACTGTTCCCCCGGACAGTGGTGTTTAGGTGTCCCTAGGTCAACCATCAACTCAGTTGTTCAAAGCCAACCTTTTGACCTTCTGGTTTTCTCTTTTTGGTTCATTTAGTTGTGGCCCCAAAAAGGTTACCCCTCCCACTAACATGGCAACTGACATTGGGTCCCTTCAAGAGGAAACGCATCTTCCAAGTACCTCCCCACAGGTGCCATGTTAGTTGGAGGAAGGGTATGGCCCCAAAAGGTTAACCTCTTAGTTCTGGGCATAGGTGTCCTTTTTGGTTGTTTTGGTAGAAAAATAGATGGCGATTCCTGGATTAAACCCTCAGGTAAACCCATCTATTTCCTCTAAAAGGACACCTATTGTGAGATTGGGTCCCTTCAAAAGGAAACTCATCTTCCAGGTACCTCCCCACATGTGCCATGTTAGTTGGAGGAAGGGTAGCCTTTTGGTTCTGGGTCCTTTTGGCCTTTTTCTCCGCTGGCCGCTGATGACGTCAGCGCAGATTGCCAGGCCGCCGCGGGCATCGGCGCGCCATTGCGGGACTGGCTGCTCTGCGCGGGGGCTGATCTGGACAGCGACCCCCTCTCCTTCGCGCCCGGAGGCAGGGGCGCCCGTGGGCGTTTGAAGGGTGTGGGAACGACAGCATGAGAATTCCGGACTCTCGGCGTACTGGGTTTTGGTTGAGAGGCCAATGGCCCCAGTGCTTCTTGAAACCGGGGACATTGGTTCATGGTTGTTGTTGGGAAACAATGGAAACATGTTTGCTTATGGTGGTTTAGAGGTTGAAATCCAACCACTTAACGATTTGTTGCTCCCCTTCCAACGTCAACCAAGGAAAGGGGCGCCGTTTGGATTTGGACTGGAGGGTATCAACGGAAGCCAAATCTGAGTGACTTCAGGTTCTGCCGGCCGCAGAGAGAAGCTCTGTGCAAAAGTTGAGTCAATGGCCTGACCACGCCGCAGGATTGGGCCAACGGGGGTTTCCCAAAGTAAACCACGGCTTGGTTTCCCTTCGCTGTCTCTTCCTTTCTTGGACACACCCGGATGGGGAAACCCATTGGCAGCGTTTGCATCTCCCCTCTCTCCCATACGAAGCGAGGGCAGGGCTTGGCCCCGCACTTCCGGACCATGGGCATGCAGTTGGACTTCCGGCTCAGCTACAAGAGCGCAGGCGCAGGGCCAATGAGTTGATCCGTGGGGTGCGACCGATTTTCTCCAAGAACGCCAAGCAGCCCCGCCCCGCCCCCCCCCCCCCACCCCAAAACAAAGCATGTCCAAGGGGAAACTTGGATCCACCTTGGGTCAAGGTTTGGAACTGCAAGTTTTGCTCCAGACCCCGGGTCGCAACTGCTTCTTGAAGGGTTCACTTGGGAGGCACGTCAGGAAGCGGCGAAAACAGACATACGGTAAAGGAAACTAGTTGTGACCCCCGGTTCGGTTTGGGGGTTGGACGAGTTTCCGGCAGTTTTTCCTGCTGGTTTCCATGGCTAGGATGCGCAAGGGTTTGTCACTCAAGGCCCCCCCCTTTAAGAGCATGAGGTGAGCCACGCTACTAAAAGATTGCCCGCTTGGTAGGTACCCTCCCTTCACTTTTCCTGGCACCGGACAGGGATCTTCAAGGAACATCATGTTGTTCAAGGAATTGATCCTTTTAGGAGCGCAGCGAGACCCTCGCCAAAGGCGAGAGCTTCTGCCAAGAATCAAGGAATGAAGGCAATCCTCAACTCTTGGGGTGTGAATGGGGTCCCCCCTGTACTGGTTTCCTTTGTAGCGACTCTGAGCAATCGGGTTGGCCAACTCGTTTCAGAGCAGAATCTCGGCTCTTGTCTCTTGTGTGCTGCTCACTTTTCCGCCTTTCCGTAGACCTCATGAGCACTGCACCCCGGCAGAAATATTCGCGCTTGGTTCAGAGCGACCAGGAAGTCGAGACGCATTGTACCAAGTGGCATGATCAGGAGCTGCCATCATGGGCATGTGAACCTGCTGCAACTCTGATAATTTCCAGGGTGATAGCGTGGGACACAGATCCTTTGGTCAAGATTGGGGCTTGTGGCACTCGGTTGCTCAGCCACGTTTGGCGACATGCCTTCCTAGCTGCATGTTTGGCATGGCTCTTTTGGGCAGTTTTCCCCATGGTGGTCATCAGGTTTGCCGTTTGTGATGACGAAGGTGGCTTCTCACAAATCTCGCCTTGGTTCTTGACCCTGTACATACCGGTCATCGCCTTGTCACTTTGGTTGGAGATGAAAGTCTTGGCCGCCAAAATCCCCTGCCCTGGGAGCTGTGCTGCCTGGGTGGCTGGAGGTGTGCAGGCCTCCGAGTCCCTTTCTGCACCTATTTGGCCTTTCAGCTTTCGCTGAGCGCAGTGGGTCACGCGGACCTGGCCACGAACGGACTGGTACTGGCGCAAATTCCGCCCACCTCCTCCTGCAGGGCCAGTCGCGTGGATGGGCCTGACGGAGTTCGAGAGGTTGGCTGCAGTCAGCTACGCGCTCACGTCTCTGCAGCTGCTTTACGCCGTTTACGACGCCAAGCTGACAGAGGAGGATAAGCAATGGCAAGCGGAGGGTCACATGGAGGTGAGCCGCTCTTCGCTGAGGGGCCACGTGCTTTGCACATGTGTGCTGGGAGTTTCCGCCTTCTTGATGTCGTGGATGGGCTATGCTGTGCTCAAGACCATCATGGGCTTCAGATGTGTCTGTGGCTTGTGGAACTTTGCGTGGCCTTTGCTTGAAGGCTGCCTTGATGAAAGCCCTGAGGCCCGAGCTCGAGAGACTTGCATGGCTTGACAAGGCTTGGCAAAGTTCAAGAACTTCCGGGCGCAAATTCTCAATCCAACACACGTGAAAAATGCTGCTTGGCTTTGCAACACCAGGCGGAACCAATCAGAACTAGTGGAATCCACGCTATTGCTTGGCATCACTTGTGCGGCCACAATTTAGTTCTGTACGTTCCCGAGTTTTGCCAGCCTCAAAACGGGTGCCCTCAGGCTTACTGCTTTTGAGGGCCCGGCCCATCTTCGCCCGAATCGGTGATAGGTTTCATGAAAACGTATGGGTGTTTCTCAAAATATTGTTGAGCCCCTAGTTGGGCTGTTTCCTTTGATTTCCCATGAAGACGAAAAGGGAGATACATGAGGATATCATGTTTGACGTCTCAACCAATGAGACCATCAACGCTCTCTCCGACCCGCTCTTGCTTCGTCCCGGTTCTAGCCATAGGACAACTTTGAGTGGCCCCGCAAGGCAAGACCCCATGTCCTTTCTGCCGGGAAGTTACCCTCCAAAATCGAGCGGGAAATGCTGGATTTGGCGGATTCCTTCCCACCATCTTCGATATGTCCACTGGGCGTTCATTGCCGACATGCTCCCTGCTTGGTTTTGTCCAGAGAGCAATTTGGATGTGTTTGCTGCAATGCTTGCACGATGCTTTGTCAGTGGTGCCGATGTGTTTGCTGCAATGCTTGCACGATGCTTTGTCAGTGGTGCCCACGAGTGCAGAAGCAAGAGTCACATTGGCCATGCATCAACGACATGTTGTTGAGGCACCCAAGCACGGCTTTCCGACTCAATGTGTATCTCCAGCAGGTGTTTGCAAGCTCCCGATGGGGTGAAATGAGAGCTGCCTGGACAGGCGCACATGTCGAACAGCACCACGGCGTGGTGTGCTTCATCACCGTGAACGTGCACGTGGCCTGGAACTCCAACGTGGAATCTTGGCCGGTACTCGGAGCGGCAGGGTGGAGTTTAAGAGGCATCCCTATAGCGATTGCAATCACAAGGAAACATTCGAGGGAAAAGACACGTCTTTGAAGGGAAAGGTCAACCAACCGCAGCCAACTGAGCGGCAGGCGTAGGAATGGGTCGTTTGACGTATTCAAAGCTATGGTGCTTCGTCTGGATTCAGAAATGGCCTTTGGCACCAGTGGGGAAATGGTTCATGTTCGCACCCACTGCTGGGTTTTCCTATTTACGCAACCGGAAGCGAAGTGTTGCCACCTTCAGATGAACAGAATTTAACATAAAACCGCTTCCTGCAGAGGAATCTCCGTTTGGGGCAGCTCTTTGTGCCTCGGAAATCTCCTGAGCCTCTTTGAACAGACTCCGGTCATCCGGATTCCGAAACTGACATGAACCCAAACCCCCGTATCGTCCGTATATACGAGTTCCCAAAAGAAAGCCAAAGTGAAGGGGAGTTCGTGTGTTTCCACTCAGTCCAGATCCTTGATAAGTGAACATTGCATCATATAGCTTGCTCCTCTTGCCGCAAGTTGTACATGAGCTTGGAGGATTTCGGGCCTTGAATCTCCATGAGTGCGAGACTAGTCCAGCGATTCCTTGAAGGAAGCCAGGTTGCAAGAGATGCTCCGGAAGAGCTCCAACCAACCAGCCTCAAAAGGCCCACCTGTGTGCCTTGCCCGCGGTTTCCCGCGCGATGTTGCTGTTAGGTATTTTCAATCCAAACCACCAACTCGACTGTCCCCCAAAAAGTGGTGGACATTTCATGGTGGACCAAATCTTCTATTTGTTTAAGAGTATTTCTTTATTTTCCCCTGTTGGTTTCAAGGGAACCTATCACTACTGGACATATTTTTATGCGTTCCAGGGGACTTAAGCAAATGGAGGAAATGCGGAACGGGTCAGACCATGTTTTCTACTTGCCCCGTGGGGTTCTCCAGAAGCGGATAGGAAGTCCAGCGTGCGGTGACCCCGGCCGTCAACAGCAGCTTCGCGGAACGCCAGCTCTACATGTACGGGGCCCCTCGCCGGCGCTCTCTCGCCGTACGGCGAGACATCGCAAGCTGAAAGTCCAAAGGGGAATCGACTTGCCTGAGGCTAGGGTCGTTCTTTTCACTGTTTCTGGGAGTTGTCAAAGTCGGCAACTTTTTGCTTGTTATTATTATTTGACCGATAGTGTCAGAAAACTCGACATGAGCCACGGTCAAAGTTGCCAGGTTTTGCCCAAGAGAACATGGGGAAATTGTCGGAAATGTTGAGCTGTTCCGCATTTGTAGAACATGTCAACCACGCTTGGTTTGACCCATTGCATGATTCGGATTGTTCGAGTTGTTTGGTGCTTTGGATCGTGGGGTGGGGATTTGTGGGTTGGTGCCAGGGTTTAAGTTGAGTTGGGGGTCGTCTCTCATGTGTAGTCCTGCAAGCTGGCCGGAAGAGGCTTTGCTTGAGGTTTGTCTGTGGTCTGTGGGGGGGGGGGATGTGAGTGGGTCCAGTACTTCCACAGACAAGCTGAGCTTCCTTCTGGTGCCATGTTTCAGGGGGAGGACAAAAAGGGGACGCCGGTTTGACTTCCCTTGGCTCGCCAAAACGCCTCAGGTGACGCCGCGCTTCAGCTTCGAGGGGGACTTCCGGTTCTACTCCCACACGCCCATCATGACCTGGGTGGTGCAGGCGGCGGTGCTGTTTGGGCTCCCGGCGCCGCGGCCTGCACGGGCTGGGGGGGGTCGGAAACCCTTTGAACCCAAGCGAAAAGGGGTTTTTTCCCCCCAAAAAAATAGTCAAGCCCAATTTTGTTTAGAGGCCGGCCTTTTGTGATGGAAACCTTTTGGAAAGTGATGAAGCCATGGGGATGTCCAACTTTGGCATCAGAGAAGTGGGTTTTCCAACCCACAACCACGGGTTGTGTGTGTGTGTGTGTGTGGACGGGGTGTTGGGGTTGGGCGTTTTGGGACGGGCTTGGGATGGTTCCCAGATCTCCGGTGCACTTCTTAGCCGATTTGTTTGTTGAAGGGTTCTAATTGAAATTTACTGCTCAAAGCGACATTTTCCATGGCCACCAGAGGGGTTTGCGAGGGCTTCTGAGGCTTTGGGACTGAAATGTGGTCTTTGCCACAGGCACAGCTCACAATCCCCACCTCGCTTTTCTAGGTTGGGCTTGTCGTGGACCATGTGCTTGAGAGCTAACCACGGGGTCACTGATCTTGCTTTTAATTTACATGCCTTTGTTCCCTTGGCGAAGCTTTTCTTTAGATACGGGGCCTGCAACTACATACATCTGTCTATTTGATGGCGAGCTCACCGATTCGGGGGTAGAACGAGCTTATCGTGACGTAGGTCCTTTACCTGGAACCTACCTACATAGCCAGTACGTTGTTAATTTACCAAAGGGAAACCAACAGGGAATGGGTGATTGTTGATTTTCCCAGACGCCCCATTGACACCCAGGGATCCCTTATTTCAGGTGAATCGCAGACATGTCGGAGCTGCCAGATTGTGCACGTTTTTGTTCGAGTCGAAACAAAGGACGGCAAGTAGAGTGTGCTTCAACATAACATGTTAGGCAGCTGAAATTCTCTACGTTTGCTTGTTTCACAGCAACTCATTGAAGACCCCAGTCAACGTGAGGATGTCCAATCCTTCCCCTCAGTTGGTGATTATGCGCTACATCATCGAGTTCTTCATTGGCGTGCCCTCCACTATTTACCGGCGAGAAACTTGCCGCACCCTGGCGTCGGAACCGGACATGCTATGAGTTAGAAGCAGGCCGGAGGACGTCTTGAGGCTGCTTCTTTTTTCAAAGGGCACAACCCCCGCACGTTTTCATGTCACTTTGGGTGGGGCTTCCAAGGGCGCAGTTTGGCTAGTGCTGACTTTGCATTTCATTCTTTGATGCTTCATCCTGTTGACAGTGACCTCAGACGCAAAGCTTGCAACATAGGCCCAAAGGTTAGGGCCACCCCACAAAAGGATACCCGCAAAACACAGACTCCCACACACCCACACGCGCACGCATACGCACTCGCGGACACACACACATGAATGAAGCTGTGCCTTGACAAGAACAGTTTGCGGAAGGGCTTGCGCGCATGAAGGGATCGAATGGAAATTGCTTTGCAGAATGTGCGGAATCACCCAGGTGTAGCTTTATGCCCAACGCTTGGCCAGTGATTTTTGGACGCGCTGTCGCACGCATGGCCTGGGTGTTCTGAATTTTGCTCGCGCCATGAGTTCCGGGCGTTTCCTTTTTGTGGAGAACAAAAACATCCTCATGAGGGAAAGATACATTGTTTTGTTGGCAATACTTGTGCTGACTACAGTGTTTTCCATTTGCACCAGGGTTGATGGTGCGATGCTTGGGCAGCTTGACCAGCCATGAAGCACCATTCGATTGCTATGCCCAAGGCTCATTCGTTTTGGGGAATCCTTTCCTGACCATTGACCATTGCCTCATGAATGGCTCACTTGCCCGCTCGCCCTTGAATGCACTTGCCCTTTGCAAGCCAAACTTCTGGACGTCGCTATCATTGGGTGACTTCAGGCCTTTTCTAGCATTCTAGCGGAAGAGAAGGACAGGTTCCTACAGATCTAGACGCTCCTCATGCCCCTCATTATCTATTAAAAAGCAGAAACAAACGTAGTTGTTTTTGCTGGGGGAGTGGACCCTGAACTCAAATCCCTGAAATAAGCTTGTCAAACAGGCTGCACTTTCCATCAAGGAGCATCTCTCAACGCAGAGCCTGCAGGAATCTGCAGGAATTTCTGGGGCTAAGCTCAGGACCATTTGACATTTACGACCACATGCGCAAGACGCAGGCGGGTGCGAACAATCCAATCGAAGGCTTGAGTCCCCAAATATAATCCGAGTCCCTGGGCAACAGGGCTAAAGATGCAGTTCGATCTCGATTCACTTTTGCCGGATGGTTTCAAGGGACTTTCTTATGAACCGCGTGATGTTGGATGCAGCTGCCTAAGCACCCGACCCAAGTAAGCTGCCCCGTGATGGCCTGTTGGGCTTTGGATGCCACACACACCTCTGCAATGCCACCGCGCTCGTTTGGATCAGCAATCTGAGCCATGAGGAAGGCCTCCTTTTTCTGATTTCCCACTTGTGAATGATTGTAACTTGTGTGGAGATCTGTTGCCTCAAGATTCTCAAGGCACCAGGGCCTTGGTTTGTTCCCCACCCAGGTTTGTGCTTGCTGGAAGCAGCCTGCCCCTGGCCCAATACAGATGAGACACGGGGAAGGATGTGTTACTCATCCGAGCAATTGGTGACGGCAGCTTGTGAGTTCGGCTGGGTTCCAGTTGTACTTCACCCCGCTCCTTTTAGGGTCTTATGTCTTTTTGAAATTCAATTGGTGGACCAATTGTCGGCCCAGAGCGACGAAGACTGTGGACCAAATCCTGCACCTAAGAAACCACCGATCCCCCTGCAAATACCGGCACTTCGGCTTCCGGCTCGGAAACCCGGTTTAAACCAACCCAAAACAGTCCTCCGAGGTGTCAAGGCCCGATGAAAGGTAAGTGAGGATCTGGTTGAACAGTGGTCAGTCCAACATGTGGATGTGCCCTAAACTTGGACAAACCGAAATCAGTTGACACCTGCTAAAAACTCATGCCCGTTTAAACAAGCATTCCTTTTCCGGCATGCTTGAAGATAACGTGATGGTCGAGCGCCAGGCCAGAATGCTCATCTCACATGCCGCCTACAATCAGCTGACAAAAGATGAGTCTCCTCTGGATATGGAAGCTTGGCAACATGGCTTGTCTTCGGCGTCACCTGGCTTGCTGAGCGGCAGAGGGGAGCTCAGAAGAGGTCTGAAAATCCAGTTTTTTTCCGTGGTCCATGCTTGATTTCATTTGCAGGTCATCTCTGAGCAAGTGAGTTTCATAGTCGACTTTTGCCAGACCTGTCATTTATCGTGGAAACCTGCAACAGGGTATTCAGGAAGTTGGCCGCGAAACGAGTTTCGTACAGTGCTTGTGCTCCAGATTGACGAGAAACCAGCTATCATCAGTTCTTCTCTACTTTGAATCTCCTTTCCGTATCAAAGTAAACAGGCCCGACCATTTTTTGCGTTTCTTTGTCTCTTCCTTTTAAACCAGAGGGAAACGCGCACGGGCATCCTCAATCCATGCGCTAAGGAGAAGCTGCACGACCACCTCAAGGCCCGACCTCTGGCGACCTCTTCAGCCTTCTTTTTGGAAACAGAAGCAGGCTCCCTTGCAGAGGGGTGCATCAAATAATAAATAGTCAAACCCATAATGGGTCACCAAGCAATGCAAGAAGATAACTAGTGAAATGAATGAATCAGTGTGTAAACACACATACACACACATACATGTATATATGTATGTATCATACATACAGCAGATGCACCTACATGTTTTCACAATGTATTCATTTACGCGCGTCAAACTGTCTCCTCGAGTCCTTCTGCCAAGCAACCAACAACAACCAGCAAGCATTCCCGTGCCTTTTGAGAGCCTCAATAAATAGCGAGTTCCGACCCATGAAACTTCCCATGAAGGGCCATGTATGCCTGAACCCCTCCGACAGGAAGCCACAAGCAAAACCAAGCAATCAAAGTATAGGGTTCTTGGTACTTGGCGCGAAAACATTCTGTCCGAGACACTGCAAAGGGCAGAGGGTGCCACCAGTTGAGGCCTTCAACATGGATGTCAGACCAGCTTTTCTCTTTCTTTCTTTTTAATGGGCCTCAAATTGGAACTGGTGTTTTTTTTTTACTAGCCCCGGCTCGGGGCTTAGCCCCGGCCAGGGGACTGGTTGGTTGGTTGGTTGGTTGGTTGGTTGGTTGGTTGGTTGGTTGGTTGGTTGGTTGGTTGGTTGGTTGGTTGGTTGGTCAGCTGGCATCCCTAGCATCCCCAGCATCACCGGCCTCGCTCGGCTATTGGCTTTGATTTGTTGGCAGTTCAGAGTTGCTCCGGGCTGGTTTCGGGTGAGTGTTAGGCTTGCTGGGGTCTTAAATAACGAGGGCGGGTCTTGGGTTTTTGGGGGGGTTCATTTAGGCTGCTGCTGGGAGGGTTGAAGGTTGACTTTGAGTTGGCTTGGAGCTGGCTTGTGCGAGGTGTGCGGCCCGGTTTTTGCACTAGTCTTTTGGCTGCTTCAGTTGGGCTGCTTTGGGATTGGTTGTGGGGCGTTGCCAACAAATCAAAGCCAATAATTGGCAGCCCTAGTCCGAGCGAGGCCGGTGATGCTGGGGATGCTGGGATGCGGCCCACCAACCCCAACCTGGCCCACTAGTTTTCAAAAACACCTCAACCCCTCAAATTTGGCCAGTTTCGGGACTTGATGCTTGGACTTGATCGTTTCAGTGGGAGAGCAGAGGTGCAGTACAAGAAGGAGATGGCCGAAGGCGTGCTGCAGGATCACGAGATGGATCAATTGTGGCGAGCCACAGTCACAGGCCAGGGAATCGAATTGGGGAGCCGTGAAGGAGACAGGAAGCTTCAAAGGATCCAATTTCACAATTTCAGATGCTGTTTTGTTCTATGTTTGTGCTTGCTGTTTTCAGCCGCCAGCGCCAGTGCCAGAGCCAGTGCTTTGGCTCACGTAAGGCTACGCTTGGGCACTAAACCTCAGGCTTCAGATGGCCCACAGTAGGAGACCTGGATGTTGGCATACTATGGTGTGCTCCCAATGGTTCGCGACCTATGGAGAACCACAAGGATTTGCACCTCCATGTTTTACAATGCTTTGACAGAGAGGGGAGACTACACGTTGGGTCGGGCATCAAGGCTATAGAGCTTCAGCTGAGCATCTTTCCTTGGAATTCGCCACGAACCCCACAGCGAAGAATAAGTCAACAAGGATATGTTGCTGCCAGTGGCTACCGTTGTCCAAGCAACATGTTAGTCCTGGACTTTGCGTATGCTTCAGGCTCATTGGGCAAGCCACTCAGGAAGTGAGCCAAAAGGCATTTTGGCTGCGAAACCCGTACAGAGTACGTACAACTCCGAAACTGTCAGAGTGCAAGCTTTCCTTGGCCCCTGCATTTCCACTTGTCATGTTTCCTTTTTGCAGGATGGTAAATGGAAGCCACATGGAACACCGCAAATTCGGGGTCCCACTACTTTTCGACATACCGAATTTTACCACCATGTTTAGTGCCAACGGTTCACCTTTGTTTTCCGGTTGGGTGATGTCAGGGGCCCGGCAAGCTGGGAAGCAAACGCAAGCTTTCAGAGATCTCGGCTACCTTCACACGGCATGCAAATGAGTACGCTTCCGCCATTTGAAGTGCAAGACTGTCCCCTTCCAAAGGGTCACTCGCATCTGTTCGTCAACAAACAGTTGCATTTTGCCAAGTCTTCGGCCTAAAGTCTCTGCGAAGGCGCCTCTCTGGATGTCCCATGTGGAACTTGACCCAAGCGGCGCGAGGCTTCGACACCGACGGGTCCGGCAAGGCCCGACCGAGCCAGCTCCAAAGACAATCGGTGCTTTTCCACGTTGGGGACCTCAAAGGTTAGTGTCATTCGTTTCCTTTTGGTGGCCCTTCAATGTTTTTGGTGGGCCCTTCGTTTTTTTTTCCCCACCCAAAAGCACTTGAGATTGAAACTGAGTGAAACTCTCAGCTTTGGAAGAAGCAGATGGGTTCAATGGTTGGAACAAAGCCGAAACCCGTGGGAAACCATTTGATCGTGACCAAAGTGAGATCAGAAACGACGCCAATCCCAGTGCAGCTCGCGTTTGCGGCAAGCAAGGATGTTTTTCTTCGGGCGTCAATCCTCCTCCCAGACCTGCAGCGCCCCAAAGACACGACAGACCCTGAAAGCCACGAATGGGCGCTTGTGCGTGGTACCGTTTTTTTGCGTTTTTTTTTTTGGTTTGGGGGGGGGGGAGGAAGGGGGGAAGGGGGGAAGGGTTCCCTATTTTGACACCCAAATGGACCATGGTTCGCTTTTGCTTAGATCCTCCACAACATAACTCGCTGCCCAGATGAACGGCTGGCTACACCAGGCATGGAGATGTTTGGTAAGATCCCGTGTTTGATATTTTGCACGATTCGTTTGAGTGACAAATAGGCTTTGTGGCAAGCTTACTGCCGTTTTTGCGGTTTGTTTGCTTTGGCTTCCAATCTCAGAGGCCGAGTTGTTCGCGGAGTTTCTTTGGGGCGACATCGAACTCGGATCTCGGCAGGTCTCCCTACAGGAGTTTGTCAAGGCGGCGGCGTTGCTGGATGACTTGCACATGGCGCCCTCGGCGGCAACAGGAGCACTAAGTTGCTCGGAGCCGTGTGGAGCTTTTTTTCTCTCCAAGCTTAGCCTATGTGCAGTCAGCCCCCAAGTAGCGCTGTCCAATCCGAGGATGACATCACCCACTTCCTAGCACCTGGGCCGCATTGGGATTTTGGCTCCAGCGCGGGGGCCGAAGGGGCCGAAAAGAACGGATCAAACATGATCAAGCTAGTCCCTTGCAAGACTAGCCGAAGGAGACCCCAAGACTGGGTCCGTTTTCCAAAAGGAGGTCTCCCTGCAAATGGGCGTTTTCTCTCTCGGGAGGGAGGGGGGGTATGTTAATCCGCAGGACGGTGTTTGTTGGCACTAGTGGCTTCTGTTGGTATGGGAGGCGACCTTTTGGAAGTCCTTGGCAGTCCCAGGAGGGAGCTTTCGCTCCGCCTCGCTTTTGAAGAGACGAGCAGCCGAGGTCCGGCGAAAGGTTTCCCTCGGCAGATCCCTTTGGCTGATAGTTTTGCGAAGATGTCGTGGGGTGATGTTTAACAAGTACACGCGCGCCATGTGATTGTGAAAGGGCATCTTGCAGCATTGCTTGGAGGATTGCCCTGCAGAAATGCATTGTGGGCAGGGTCTGGCGAGCTCACCCAATTACAAGGGGCTAAAGAGTCAAAGCACCTTTCAACTCCAAGCCAAGTTCAACATGATTTCGTTATGTGGGCTTTCTGGAACCCCAAAAGAACCCGTTGGACCAGCAGAAGGATTGGGCGTCAACCCCTGCAAGGACCTCCACAGTAAACTTCCAGCGAGCCGCAGGCGGCCGCAGGCCCCGATGAGCCCCAGAAGTCCCGGCGTGAGTGACAGCAACTCATGGCCTGAGCTCCAAGGGTTTCCCTTCCAGCTGCGTGTTCGCCACGGTGGTTTTTCCGGTTGAAGTCGGCTAGGACTTTGCTTGCCACTGTTCGGGCCAGGGCCCAATTCGCCACTGGGCCCGAAGCCGCTTTTTTGGACGCTCTTGTTTTGTCATGTTTGGAAACCCGCCATCCCGTTGAACAACTCAAACAAAGCTGCAAAACAGACCCCCGATGTTGTGTCCTCAGGATCAGGACCGCCCAGTGCCCATCCTGGAGAGGTTGCTGGACAGCACCAGGCAGGGAAGAGCATTTTTTCCGGGGCGGGTGACACACGAGGAAGTGGGAGAAATTGCGGGGGGGGGGGGGGGGTTGAGGGGGAGGGGGCTGTTTTTGGGGTTGAACCCGTTTGGCCGGTTTCAAAAAGGTCAAAGGGAATCCGGATACCAAGCGAGGCCAGGAAGCCAATTTTGGAGACCCATGCGGCAAACCCAACCATTCTATCTCCGAGACGTGAATCAGGGGATAGGGCCAATTGTTGTGGGGATCGAGATCTTCGATCCTGTCAAGCAATCGGATTATGGAAAGCCGCAAGGTGATCGGCAGCAGAACCCTGCAAATGTCAGGCTGTGAAGAGTGCCTTTTTGTACCCGTTTCGAGCCGAGACCCTAATAACGGCGGCCCCTTGATGAACCGAGATTAGTCCGGATCTTTTGGGTCAAGTTTTCCTCCTGCGGAAAACGGGCCTTCAAAGCAGGGTTAGCTTGTTTAAAACAACCGATGCTGCACGCCGTCCTTTTGCATTCTACAAGCCGGGTAGATGAATCGTTGGATGGCAAGCCTTCTCCCCAGACACAAGGTGCGATGGCTTTCAGCTAGATTGTCCTTCATTCTTCAGGCTGCTCCTGAAACTTCTCAGGGGCCCGCGGCTACGTAGCGTCCATCGTTCTCGTCAAGATGGCGCCCTGATACAGTTGGAGTGCCCCGTTTGATGCTGACATGGGTGATGATGCACCGCTTTTTCGCGAGCATATTCAGCGGGGGGCACCGACGGTCTCCGTTGCAATCTTGACAGATCTTGACGGGGTGCCTTGGCTACAGGTGGAGTTCAGCTCTCTTTAGCCTTCTTCTGCAGGAGCCAGCTACGCAAGAAGAACCAGCACATCACAAGGGTCGCTCCCGACGCCCCTCGGCAGGAGGCTTTGCGCCACTCCACTTGCCTGTGACGCGCGTTGAAGAAGTTTCCACGATGTCTTTTCAGGTTCCATGTTAGTTTGCGTGTCTCCAATGATGGTGGTTTCCATGTTGTTTAGTTCGCACAAATGAATGACATGGTGACAGATACGCGGTGTGGGTAAAGGCTTCAGGGCCTGCTGTGCACAGGAGAGGTGTAACTCATCCAGCTGCAGGAAAACTGCACGAGCTCGGTGGGTGGGCAGGTTGAATTTGTCGACGTGTCTGGAAATATTGTTGGGAGTAAATGCGTATCCAACACTCGCAGCTTGAGTTTGAATTTTGAAGCGCGATACTATGAGAGTGTCCAGGGAAGGAACGGGAGGGAGGGTCAGAAGCAGGGAGGAGGGAGAATGAAAGAGAGAGAGAGAGAGAGATGGAGAGAGTGAGAGAGGGGGAGAGAAAGAAAAAGAGAAAAAGAAAAGCAACATGCGCCCCTACTTGGCAGAGTTTTCTCCGTTTCAAGGCGTCCGAGGGCGAGGAGAAGAAGTTTGGCGTCTTGGAGGGCGTGCAAGTTGAACACACTCCCTCAGGCCAGCGCCAGACAGTGCTTGAGTAGTCCGGCCGCGGCACGGGTCACGGGTCACAGCATGCCGAACCTGAGAATCGCCCGAAGGCTTAACATTCCATGGGGCATTTGGGCCAGTGGGCCAGTTACAAAATCACCTTTACCATATGATTTAGAGGGCTTCCCCCCTTGGCAGCAGCTCCGTTGAAGCCAGCTTCACATGTTGCTCAATGAACATGCCGATGCAACAGTGCCGAGGTTGGGAGGAAACCATTTTGGCCAAAATGGAGCCTGGAGAAAACACCCGATACTTGGGCAATTGACTGGCATGTTACGCTTTCAAATCACAAGATCAGCCCTCATAAAAAATGAGTGGACTGTCCTTGAAGATATACATACCGGTTGTAAGGCTGCATGATCCTGTGCCGCGGTTCTGCATGTTTCATTTGCATTGGGGACACTGCTCTTGGGCAGTGTCATGAATGGGGCCGAGGGGGCGGGCTATGGCAAGTTGCTACGGGCTGGAGCTTGCAGTGCAAGACCCGTGTTTGCAAGTCGCTAGGTTTCGGAAGTTTGGAACCCCTCTGAGTGGCGAGAGGTTGCTTCCTCCATCCCGCCCTTCCCATCAAGGATCCTAGTTTTCACTCCATTGATTATGCCAAAGCCTTCCAACCAAGTGTGCCAGGATTTCTTTGAAAGGGATCAAACAGTTATTTGGGGGTGTCTTAAAGCAGGCAACCCTCGGAAATGTTGGGTGTCCTTTCGAGTTCCCTTCAGAACCACCCCAAAGAAGGTACCCTGAAAAAGACAGACCCATTTGAGTCTGCCTAGGGGCTATCGTGCACGGCAAATTCTAGGCCGGGTAACGCTTGAATCTCCAGGATCCCACCCCCTCGTTTCTCTTGAGACAGCCTGTGCATTAGCCGCCGGCCTTTTCCCCAAACGGGGAGGTCAGCCGCGAGCCATACGAAGTATGGCTTCACAGGGTTCTCATGGAGCCAACCGGTCGGCTTGCCTATGCCAACCGCCCAGGCCGACCGGCTGACCGGCCGACCGGCTGGGCCCAGCGCTTGCTGTTGCAACCCATGGCTTGGGTGAAATCTCTCTCCGTTCCTTGCATCTCCCAGAGTCTACAGATGGCTGCTGGAGCGCTCGCCGAATTGGCGTGCGGGGCAAAAAAGTAGGTAGAGAGAGAGAGAGAGAGAGAGATTGAGAGGGCTATATGTATATATATATATCCCGATCTCTATACATATATACATACACATATGCATATAGATAGCAAACATGTGGGTAATGACTGAAAAGGGTGCCCCTTGACCTGCGCTATACACGTTGCACTCGTTTGTCCATGGACATGGTTGCCTAATGGTGCAAGCACATTTCGTTTGTTTGCCAGCTGTTGCAAGTCCCCCTGCAAAGGGCACCGGGGCTTTGCGGTTTGTGGGCAACAAGGTTTCAAAGTAAGGTGGCAGGCAAACAGATAGATCGATCGAATAATTTGGGTAGCCGTAGGAAGCACAACCTGCCATCCATGGCCTCCGATGGTCACAAACCATTCGTTTGCCAGGCGATTCATTACCCGAATTGAGGGACGAGGAGCGACAAGAACAGGCTGACTTGAAACGCTTCCCTGTTGATTCTACTTTTGTGATGAACCAGGTGTTTTCCAATTTGTTTCTTTGTCTTGACAAGTGAGGTCTTGTTTGAGTTTGTTTCTTCATTTTTGTTTGCCATGAATTTCCACTCCACAGTGGGTACTAAACGTGGATCAACCCCAACATGATGCCTACCAAGGTCTCGGGGTCCGGCACTCAGTCGGATCGAAGCTCAGCGACCCACGCGGAATCAGTGAGCAACTTGGCCCAAAAGGGGAGCCAAATGTGGCGTTCCATTTGGTTCTGGCCTTTTTGGGCTGCTCTTTGAACCTTTCAGTGGTTCTGCAAGGGCTGAAAAGTGGCTTCTCCTACTGGGTGGACAAAACCCTAGGATTTTTGTTTAATCCCAGGTACTCCCAGTATTGAAAAGGTTTCATCCATCCCTACTGGTGAAAAGCGGATTTTGTCCATCCACAGTATGACCACGATTCCCGATGTTCTTGTTGTTGGAAATCTTGGTGCCAGGAGGCTCTTCGAAGCATGCACCAAGACATCGGTTCTACAAGCTGCTCTCCTAACGTGGCTTCATCGACATGGCTTTTTGAGGTCGTCAACACATGTTAGCTCCGTGATTTCATGCCCCAGCTTTGCATATCGTAGCGCTCAAAAGCCACATTGCAATGTTGGACCTGCTTCAATGTGACCCCCCCAACAGTGGAACCAGTCTTCTGGGCCCTTTTAGGGAAGATCTGGGGGTCAGGGCGGGACACAACTTACTTTAGCATTGCCAATTCTACTTTAGCACTCCCAAGGCCCCCTCAGATTCCCAGTGCTTACTTTAGTATTGCCAATTCTACTTTTGGTTGCTCTTATTTTTTGGTAAATAAGAAGTTATATTAAGTTTGATATTTTGCGAACCACTGGCAAAACGGATTTCCTTGATCCAAGGCCTGTGCCCGTTGAGCTGGGGAGAGCTTGGTTAGGTGAATCGCCCTTGCAATGTAAAAGGCTAAGGCTGTAATTTGATAATTTCAGCAACCCCCAAAATAGTTGGACACTAAAAAGGAGCCCAAAACAATCGCATTAAAGAGGATGAGGGCCTCTTGTGGGCACCCCCCTTTGTGCAAATGGTGGCCCTTATTTGTTTGTAAAGAAGTTGTCTTGAATTTGATGGTTCGGGAACCATGTCAAAAAAGGAATTCCTAATGTTTGCCCGGATTTGTTTGCCGGACTTCTTTGGCTAGTTGCTTTTGCTCCGGATGTTTCCTGGCATCTCTTTTTGGGGAGTCTTTTTGGGGGAAAACTTGCCACAATAGAGGACTCCAAAACGGTCCAACAATCCTGAATTAGGAAGCAACTTTTACAGGCTACTGCCATTAAAGCGTGTCCAGCATGAGAGGAATCTTCTCGTGGGCGCGTTTTTGGGATTCTTTCCGAGAACTTGGCGAAGGGTTGCAGGCCAATCAACCAACCTCTCTGCACTGCAAAGTGTTGATACATATGATCGCGATCGCGATGGGTACGCGTCGGGGAGGTTCCCCTCAAAAACAACCAAACAAAATCAACGGCCTCCTTTTGGCCATGTTCACTGGGCAAGTGCGAGGATATACCCTTGTTTGCTCACGTTGCCACTAACGGCGCAGAGCATTTCGCACATGTATATACGAACACGTCCCTCCGCCTTTCCCGCTGTTCTGTTCGACGCCTTGTTGACTTTGGCGGGGTGGGGTGGGGTGGTGAGGTGGGGTGGGGTGGTGAGGTGGGGTGGGGTGGGGCGGGGTGGAAAAATAATGTACGGGGCACAAGTTGCTCCGATGCCTGCTGTTGTGTGGTTTAGTCACGAGTTTAGTCCCGGACACAGAATCATGCAGCCGAGTTTGGACTTTTATATTCCCTAGCGTGTGCCATCGAATCTTGCTAATTGCGACTGGTCCGCCGAAGGCTCCAAGACTATGACGTACACTTCAGTTCTATGAGCCATAGTTCGCTGCAGTTTGCCCGGAATGTTATCTTGCCTCGGGATCTTTGAAAGGTTGCCAAGACGTGCAGTTGTAGGAAGCAATGCCGTAGTTATGTGGCGGCGTGACGTTGTTTTTTGTTGGGCCGTTTGGACGCGAAGCTTGGTTTCACTCTCTGCCTTCAGGTCCTCAGCAAGCGAGATTTGTCCCTGGTAGAGTAGAGGGGTTCCATCCGAAAAACTTCGTTTTTCTGGATGGAGGCCAGTGCAACTGAAATTCATTTTGGCGCGGTAATGTTGAAAGGGGAAGCATGAAGAGAGACGGGGAGAGAGAGAGAGAGAGAGAGAGAGAAAGAGAAAGAGAAAGAGAAAGAGAAAGAGAAAGAGAAAGAGAAAAGAAAGAGAAAGGAAAAACAACGCAGTTGCAGGGGAATATGATGATAGCTATGCTAGCGGGAGTTCTCTAAGCTTTAGCTTCTTTTTTAAAGGGGCTTAGCTTCCCACGATGCCTAGTTTAATCAGGGATTGGGGGGCGGGGGCGCCCTACAAAGCTTGATTTGCAAGACCAAATCCTTACAACCCCCCCCCCCCCGCCCCTCCCCCCACCTGAAGCTCGATTCCCCCCGGCTGGGGAACCTCTCTTTCTAGACATGTCTAGACGTGCATTTAGGATTGCTAGTCCTAATATTCCTGACTCGTGCATGTCGTCGTTGGGCTGGCTAGGCTAGCTTTCGTTCACCCGCCTCTCAAGTTGGTGGATCCCTTTTTAGATGTTTTATAGGAGAACCAAGGGAAACCATGGCCGCTGCGGCCTGGTTCCTATTGTGAGGCACCCATGTACACATAAGGCACCTTGACATGTCCATTGGATCTGGTTTAGGTCTACGAGCCGGGCACTCTCCTGCCGGGCCGGCTTTTTTGCCAACCTTCGCTTGAGCTCGCGGTTGGCCTTCCATGTCACTTTGTTGACAACTTGAAACTTCGTGGTTTTGTAAAGGACACCCTTGTTGAAACTTTAGTGCTGGTTTGAGACGTCAGGGTTAGGGTTGGTTTAGGGTTGGTATGATAGAACGCGCGCACCAACCACATGGGCCATCTTGGAGTGGTTCCCAACCTTACTTGCAAACCTGCTGGGGGCAAATGGTTGTTGGTTTAATGCGCTAACACCCATTGCGAAAACCTACACCTTCTTCATGCGCAGCATTCTCATTTCATGATTTCCGCTCAACGTGCCACGCATGCCGGTTCCAGTGACGGTGACACCCGGGCAACATGACAAGCACAACATGAGAAGCATGCCTGCTCCACGAGTGGGCTTGCTCAAACTGGCAAGAAGTCACCATGCGCCTGGGGGAAACATAGTGCGTTTGATGAGTGTCTCTGCAATGTTCATGGAAAGCGACACTATGCGAGCATGTGGCTTGCAAAGGCGCTTGCCAACGACATGACTGATTGGATGTGTTAGAACGCATCTCGGAAGCCCGCCATTCAGGGTCACGACAGCTTCAAGCGTGATACGAGACTCGAGCTCTCACC